TGGTTCGTCCGGAACTGATTAGTTTCAAGATGGCTTTCATCAGACACACTATCACTGGAATTCAATGAGCACTGGATGCAAATATAATATGCTAATTTAAAATTGATTAGTAGTGCTCATCAGCTGGAATCAATTGAAGTATAATGTCTGGAAACCTAGTCACTGAGGCCACTTTGAACAACCAGCTTTGGGTCTTCTACATCCATGCATACTTTGAAGCACAACCGACTAAGTATTCTTTGATATAGGAATCCAAAATACAACCAGTAGATAAAATGATAACAATACCCTCCGGTTTTTCACCTAATTATGGATACGGTAGAAGTTGTTTACCGGTTATAGATATGAAATTAAAATAAAGTAGTCACCTAATATTTTTATGTTGTCAGTAGTCATTTAGTTCATGTCTGTTCATAATGTAAACTGAATACGTTGACAATGAATAAAATTACATTCTGCTCATTTTGAGTTTCAGTTCCATTCTATTCATACAATCGATATACGACGCGATGCAATCTACCAAATATACCTATAAAACCTTGATATAAATGATAAAGAAACACCTAAAAGTGAGGAAAGCATATAACTTACATTTGAGTTGTCAGTCGCCAAACACGTAAAGTGCCTTCGTCATCCCCAGTAACCAGAATCTCCTCATCGTCTGAACTACCACTGAGTTCACTAACTACTGGACGGAAAGCTACAGATCGGACACACATTGGATGTTTCCCTGTATCAAAAGCCAGTGTTCCTGACGGTAAAAGCCATACCTTCGTGAAACAAAAACAGGAATTCATGAGAAATATATGTATTCAATCAGTTGTTTGATTCAGTTGCTGAATTAAAGTCAGTTTTAGGTGACAATTACATTACATCTTGCTCTTAGAAAGAAAGTACAACAGAATAGAGAAAATCGAGATGTACTCAGCGTTCCTGCAGCAGGCAGTGAGTCACATTCATTGTTTGAGGGCTAACGATACTAGCTAAGTCCCCGAACTTCGGTAGGTGGAGTGGTGTTCGAACTTGTGACCCACTGACTGGAAGTCAATTCCCTGGACCAATGAGCCAAAACCCTTAAGGGAGTACACAGCTGAGAGCTTGTAATTGTAACATACCTATAAATTAGCCAAAAACGACTTGTTAACGTTCAAGTATATACGATGTGACCTAAACCTTCCGGTTTCTGAATATAACATATGACTACCATCCAGAATAACCTCTCAAATTAGTTCTCATTTTTAGACCGATTAATTCCATGATCCAACCTCGCCTGGTTAACTAGTTCACTAGTTACTAGCCGGTCCTAAGCCCGGGTAAAGAGGGAAGGTTGGGCACAGGGCTAGCAACCCTAATCCGTAAAACAAATCTAACCGCTAAAGAAACTTCAAAGCACAAACAAAATATAAAAAATGAAAACAAACTTATTCCCCGCTGGAATCGGAGAGGCGAAATGACGCTGTTTGGTGAAAGCCTTCGGGAAGCCAATTGGCCGATGTGTCTTCTCTCGATGAAAGCGAAAGTAAACGTGGGGACATGGAATGTCCGCACGATGTTTGAACCCAGTAAGGCAGCCCAGATTGCAAAGGAGATGAGAAGGTATAACATCGAAGTGCTTGGGATTTGCGAAAGCAGATGGAATGGGAGTGGACTCTGCAAACTGTCAACTGGAGAATCAATAATCTACTCCGGTCACCCAGACGACAACCACGAGCACACTGAGTTTTGGAGTGGCTATCATGATGTCCTCAAGAGCATCGAAGGCTCTCATGCAGTGGGAACCAATCTCCTCCAGGATCATGACAGCAAGATTCAACTCAAAAGGAAGAAAGGTCACAATCATACAATGTTATGCACCTACAAATAATGCAGAGCAAGAGAAAAAGGAGGATTTCTACAGACAACTTCAATGAACACTGGACAAGACGTCAGTTGGCGATATCAAAATTCTAATGGGCGACATGAATGCCAAACTGGGAGGGGACAACACGGGAAGAGAACTAACCATGGGTCGAGAGGCGCTAGGTGAAATGAATGAGAATGGAGAATTGTTTGCAGAATTCTGTGCATTCAACGATTTGGTGATTGGAGGCAGTGTGTTCAGGCACAAAGATATCCACAAAGCGACATGGATTTCACCATTCATCAGATGGACACACTAAAAATCAAATCGACTTTATCTCAATCTCAAGAAAATGGAGACGCAGTCTACTTAACACAAGGTCAAGAAGAGGAGCAGATGTAGGTTCAGACCACTATCTAGTGCAAGGAACCTTCCAAATCAAGTTAAAAGCCTTCAAGGAAGCTGGTGATAGACCTCAATTCAAGTACAACACTCGGAAACTGAAGGATGAAACTACAAAGGAGATCTTCACGTCAGCCATCAAGACAAAATGGGAGACATCGAGCAACATCCCTGAAGAAACCTGTGTGGAAGAACACTGGAAGTCTTTGAAAGCTATGTGGAAAGAAACCTGCACAACAGTATTAGGAAGGAAGAGGAAAGAAGACAAGGAATGGATCTCGACGGATACCTGGAAGCTGATAGAGGAGAGGAGGATGGTGAAGCAGAAGATAAACCAGTGCAAGGATGCTCAACGACAAGAGGAACTGAGCACAATGTATAAAACACTGAACAAAGAAGTAAAGAAGAGTGCACGCAAAGACAAAAGACACTTCTACGAAACACTGGCAAGTGAAGCAGAACAGGCTGCAGCTGGTAAGAGAGACCTGACGACATTGTATCAAATAACCAGGTTGCTATCAGGGAAGAGACCAACACAGATGAAACCAATAAAAGATGAAGAAGGAAATTTAATTACAAAAGAAGAGAAACAGAGGAAACAATGGGCCGACCACTTCAAGAAGCTCTTGAATCGACCACCACCTGCACTTCGTCCAGAAATACCACCTGCAGCCGCTGAATTACAAGTGAACATAAATCCCCCAACGAAAATGGAAGTCCTGAACGCCATAAAGCTACTGAAATGCGGGAAAGCAGCAGGACCAGATGGAATACCGCCAGAAGCACTGAGAACAGATGCAGAGACAACAGCGGACATGCTCACACCACTATTGCAGAAGGTGTGGAAGGAAGAGAAGGTACCTGATGATTGGAAGAAGGGTTACCTTGTCAAACTGCCGAAGAAAGGAGACCTCAGTGCTTGCAAGAACTGGCGCGGAATCACTCTCCTGTCCACCCCAAGTAAAATATTAAGCCGCATCATCCTGGAGAGGCTAAGGGATGCACTGGATTCAAAACTGCGACCGGAACAGGCAGGCTTCAGGAAGTACAAATCATGTGCAGACCAAATTGCAACGCTTCGTATCATCATAGAACAGAGCATAGAATGGCAATCAGCTCTCTACCTCAACTTCATCGACTTTGAGAAGGCCTTTGACAGCGTCGACCGAGAAGTAATTTGGAAACTGCTTCAATACTACGGAGTACCGCAAACCTTTATCCGCCTCATTCAACAACTATATGAAGATGCCACATGCCAAGTAATTCACAATGGGAAGCTCAGTGATGCCTCTGAAGTGAAGTGAAGACAGGAGTGAAACAAGGTTGCCTACTATCACCCATGATATTCCTTATTGTGGTGGACTGGATCATGCAGCAAACAGTAGGCAGCGAGAAGAGGGGGATACACTGGACGACGGAAAAGAACCTAGAAGACTTGGATTTCGCCGATGACTTATGCCTAATGTCACATAAACTTGAAGATCTGCAGGCAAAAACTAACAAGTTGACAGAAGAGGCAGCCAAGACGGGACTTCAGGTGAATATAGAGAAGACAGAGGTGATGAAGATACCGCACCACCACCATCAACAACAACAACAACAAACTCCAATCACCGTCAACGGGAGAAACTTAAAGGAAGTAACCTCCTTCACTTATCTAGGAAGCACTGTTTCAACTACAGGCGGGACGGACGAGGACGTCAAAGTCAGAATCGGAAAAGCAAGACAGGCCTTCATTAGCCTGAAACCAGTGTGGAGATCTTCTGCACTCAGCATGCGGAACAAGATACGGATTTTCAACACCAACGTCAAGTCAGTGCTCCTGTATGGTTCAGAGACTTGACGCGTCACGAAAGGCATTTCCAATAAACTACAGACATTCATCAACAACTGCTTACGCTGGCTCGCTACTGAAGATCAGATGGCCAGCATAAAAGAATAAGCAACAAGGAACTCTGGGAACGAACCAACCAAGAACCTATCACGCAACAAATATGCACGGAGGAAGTGGAGATGGATTGGGCATACACTGAGAAGGCCGACTGGGGACATCAAGCGTCAGGCAAGGCCCTCGAGTGGAATCCCCATGGGAAGCGACGAGTTGGACGTTCAAGGTGAGGGTGACATGGAGGAGGTCGTGCGAGGAGGAAATGAAAGCTTCTGGGCTGTCGTGGGACCAGGTTCAAAAGATCTCAGAGAACAGAGGTCACTGGAGGCGTGCTACTGAAGCCCTATGTTCCACTAGGAACCCAAGGGACTAATAATAATAATAATAATAAATTCCATGATCCATTTTCTTCAGTTACACCTTGTGGAAACTGCATGAAATTATGTATAAATCACTTAAGTTAGTGTTTCATTTCTATCACCTTTTACACATTTTGTACATTCTTCCTAATGTTTGTTAAAACGAATATTGTTTATCTGTACAACTTAAAAATTGGAATTTTTGTTGTCGCGGTACTATATTACCTTACTTCTGCTTTTAAGACGTGGAAATATAGAGTGCTTCTACCCACTCCGACATCTACTTCCGTCGACTACTGTCTCACGTGAATACTCATCAATTGTCCTTGGATTTTAAAGGACCTCTGATCCTACTTCCAAATATCACGACAATTAAGCCAAACAACATCGACTCGGGAGCGCTAACGATTATCGTCTACTGAACTAACATTGGAGTATACTAAATTGTGGTGGACAGTACCAAAGAGATAATATTCAAGCAAACCATTATTATCCATAACACTGATATTACCTATTTAGTATTATAATGCTTAACTATTCATACTTGTGTACATCACTGTTTCCATTTTTGTTAATCATATTTAACTTGTAATTTCTTTGGATCCACTACAAGCATGAGATGTGTGAACCAGATTCTTCTAACACTTCAACTAATGCAAATATAAAATGGCGTAACCGAATTTATATCACATCCAAAAAACGTCCCTGAAATAAAGGAAAATCCCATAAACGATAACCAGGGAAATTGATCGCTAAGTCATTTTTACGGTGGTATTGTAGGAGCATAAGATAACAAGAAAAAGTGAGTCTAATTCACGAGACAAGTCAACGATAACCGTAAAACTAATTAAAACATTAAAATTACCATTTTGTAAAATAAAATATAACACACAATCTGTTACAGACAATACAATAGGTCTTCAGAGTAGAATATCTGAACGTCATTAAGAAATGTTACTATAAAAAGCAGGATAAATTTTGCAGAGTAACTATATGAAATATAGCTACTGCATTACCTTTCACATAAAGTAACAAAGAAAGTAGCAATTAGTTCAATGATCTTATTAGAACTAACTTTAATTTACCCATAGAAGTAATCAATAACTAACCTTTGCAGTTTGGTCGCTCGAACCAGTTACAAGCCACTGACCATTTGGTCCAATATCCGCGTCTGTTACAGGCATCGGTACATGAGCATCAAGGTTTAACTGCCATTGCTTCTCCTCACAACTAGACTGCCTTTCATCATGACAAATAACTGACTCAGGAAGGGATAGTTCACGACCAAAAACACGACCGTCATGTCCAGCTGTGAAGCAAACTAGCATTTTATTTGCAGTATTGTCAAGTGAAGTTCGCTTCAGAGTATTGTGTCTTCGATGGTCACATACCAAAGGATGTTGGGATCGCTCAATTAAACGACACGTAGACCAGGTAATAACTGCACTACTATCATTTGTAGAAAAATCATTTAGGTACTCCGACTGAACACCAACCTTTATATTTCGATTGTTGACTAAGCCTTTTGAAAAGCATACACTATTGTGAAGTTTCGACCAACATTCCGAGGGGTGCACATTTACACATGATGCACTGGGATTTGAAACTGAATGATGTACATCAGATAGGTACCATACCTGAGAGCGCAAAAGTAACGAAATACAAAATGATCAACAACTCAGCAAAACTCTATTTAGTAATGTTTTCTGAGAGGAAAAAATAACCAGTAGAAAATAAACAGGTATATTCTGTTAACAAGAAACGTAACGAGAAACAGCAGTTTCATCCTGTCTGCTTTCTTTTATATTTAAGCAATAAAAATTTCGAGAAATGTCACTTGAGGATAACGGTAAGACTGACTAATTACGCTTGATAATAAACTCATCATGTGATGGTTAGTGATGCTAAATAACTAACACAATCTTGATGGATAAAAAAATGATTCAAACACATCCGGAAGCTGAAAATTAATCCCATCCATGTCTTCTCACACAGACCTTAAAGCGTACAAAAAACTAAGATTTATAAGAAAATTTCGATCTATGAAGGGGAGGGATTTTATTTTTAACGTACTATTCATCACAAACTGACATCAGTTGGAGAACCACTGAAAACCTGGGAGCTATTTCTTCCTAATACAGTACTCCTTGGAAGTGAAGAGGATGTAAACTGGAGACTTCGGTGGATAGAAGGGCTATATCACGAACTGACAGAGGTAGAAAACCATAGATTGCTGAACTCCGACGCAGCGACCGAATGGCCAATGCGTTCTCTATGAAACCTGGAGGTCCTGAGTTCGATCCCTGCCGGGGTCGTGAATAGGCACTGCTGAGGAGTCGCAAACTAGGATGAAAAGCTGTTCAGTCCTCCCAGTTTTTCAATGGTTCTCCAACCGATATCAGTTCATGATGAACACTAGGCTGTAAGCCACATCCGTCGTGCAATGTAAAAGTAGGTGGAGTGGTGTTAAAAACCTTGAAGTTCAGTTTCTAAGTCAATGGGCTACATCACCACTTTAGTATTTCCTCAACAAAAAATATTTTGATTTTAAAAAAAGGTCCAGTTCAGCAGCAGTTTTCATATCGTAATTGACATCTTCACTAAAAAATGTACTCAGAATTCACTGAACACGATGTGATAGTGCGTTAACTGGTATATTACATTAATAGCAGAAAAGTAATCATCAGGAAGCAGACCATCAAGGTTTAACACTTTGAAAAGTCACAAAAAGGATTTGAATTCGCTAAAATTCCGAGTTCTAATGGTCTCAAGAAGATAATTGAAGTACAATTTACGAATACAAGCAGACAGAGGAAATAGGAAACCAAACTATCTGACAACAGACAGGATTCTTCACACGTGATTTACATTAACATTTCGAGAAAATGTTTACATCTTAATCGCCTAAATATATTCTACTCTAAAAGTGACACAGACAGCAAAAAAGATCAATAGCCATGTATTGATGTTGGAAAAAGGGAGAAAAGGCACATGAATGAAGTGGGAACCCATAAATAGTGAGAAATAAGATATCTACAATTCTGAAGAAGCTATGCGGAAAATCCAATGATACATTACTGCAATCAATTTTAGGTCATATCACTGTGTGCCTCCAGAAGCTGATAATTTTAAAAGGAAAATATTGGCTTAAGTAAAGAGACTTAAAACTTAACACTAACTGTTACTTTCAGATTGTTTATTTTCTCACACATTTTTTTCTATTTTGATATCACTCTTTTTATATCTATTTGTTCTTCGCATATTACTGTGAAGTGTGGCAAAATGAGCCGATGCACTTGTGTATGATGTTCTACCTCGGTTTTGTCAATTGTCAGTCAGACATACTACGTCATTCGATGAGGGATTTCCAGAAAATTTAAGTCCTCACCAATACAAGTCAATAGATGAGAAACTGACAACAAATCTCATCAATATGTATACCTTAAATGTTTTTACTAAGACATTGGGTTGAAAATCTGACATCTTTAACCTATCTGTCCAGTATGAACACTTGCTATTTGTGAATCACAAAGCAGCGTGAAACAAAAATATCGGCATGTTACGCAAACTATATAATAAATTAGTCCATAATTACATTAGTTAGTCACTGGAGAGTAACCATTGCATATTGCCTAGTGAACAAATTCTGTCAATCATTTCTGCAATGTGGTCACCGAGCTGGGAGATTGACTATTACGGTGCACTGTACTGTTAGGTGGTTGGAGGTAATCAACAGAAATCCCTGTTTCACCTCGATTTCGTGCATTTGGCACTCGCCAGTAGGACGCATCTTCAAACTTGACGATCCTGATATCTTCTTAGAGACTCGAACCTGCAGTACCAAGTGCTACAAACAGAAACGTTAGCATTAAGCTATTACGTTATACATAGTAAACATTGGTAGCCCATGAATAAGGTCATGTATGAAACGCACACAGTATTGCAACTGTGATTCTCTTCAGTCTACGCAACAGATGAAGACCTTATATAACTAAGATTACTTGGATTATTTATCTAACTAGTTCATAAGATCAGATAAATAAAAAGACAAAGTGAGAGGTGATAAAAAGGAAAGTGAAAAACAAACACTTTCTTTTTTTAAATGGTTAGTCAATACAACTTTATGACTGAAAGTGTTGAGACAATTATACAACGTCATACGTTAGAATACAATATTCACATCGTGACCTACAAAAGGCATGAACTTTCATTATGTTTTATAGTGAAAAGCACAGATATTGATTATGGTATTAAAGTATTCATTAGGGAGGAAAATGTGCTACAATATCATAATGGTACAGATGCTATCTTCATTTGACTGTGTGTGTGTGATAGAGAAATTTTATATTTTAAGTAGGTAAGTGGAAAAGTAAGACTCATCCTCACTAGTGTGAAGAGATTTTAAAGTGTAGTGGCAACGATAAGGAAGAATACAAAGAACAGAAAATATAAAAGTGCATATAAGTGAAAAGATTTTGAAACTCATAGTAGTAAAGTTTTGAGAAAGGTCCTACTTTGGAAGATAACATCAAGAAGCACGATACATCAGTCTCTCAAAAAATCGTTTTAATTATATACTAGAAGAACTCGACCAATATATAAATACGCTAGGATTATATTTAAACTTACTTATAAAACAATTGATGAACAGTTTACCCAATCGTTTCTTAAAATTGCATACGAAGAGAAAATTCAAAAATATAAAAACGCTGGTGAACTGGTTAGTTACATCTCCTTACAGAGGTAAGCAAAGACTGTGGCGTTAGAATGCACACTACACAACACCAAGCTGTAGACCTATTAATAAACGAGTAAACTGCGCTGCAGTCCTTTCTGTCCTGTTATACGATTGTGAGACATGGCCGCTAAAAGTAGAAGACATAGAACCGCTACGCGTTTTTGATCACGAATATCTTCGTATTATGGCCGTTTGAACAACATTTAGGTCAGGTGAAGGGTAGTAGGCAAAGAAATTAAGTCAGTCAATGAAGTTGGGAACCTTCATCGATTAAGATGGCCTGGACATGTGTTGCACATGCTGAGAGCCAGCACCTACACCGACAAGCAATGTTAGGGAAAGTGGAATTAGGTTGGAAGAAGACCCAGGGTGGCGAGACCAAGATGTGGTACCAGTATATGATGCCTCTGACTGTTGATCTGAGCTGTGTAGAAAGATGTGGACTATCTGATTGGTGTCCTAAAGACTATAGAAATCAGTAGCTGAAGACTATTGGTGAAGTGACTGGAAATCGGTCACAATGGAGCTATTGCACTCACTCTTTAATGTCTTCTAAAGCTTGACTGTTTTGACTAACCGTAATTTTTGAACGCCCCCCCCCTCTCCGCTCCAATATACCTTTGTCTACTTGGTATCAGTCTCTCCGATCCATTAGTTCTTTGTGAACTACTGCGAAGTGTGTCAACTTGAAAAGATGCATTTAAGTGCGAGGTTCTACGTTGATTTGTCTGTTTGTCTGAACCACATGACTACTGGTAACTCTACTTAGATGCCCAAATTTTGGGAGGTGGAGTAGGGATCGAACCCATGAAAGTCGAGTATATTCACTTATGAGTTATAGCTACACAACTGACAGTCAATTGCAAATCTTTATCAATATATGGAATTCGACGCTTAGTCAAACAGTATACAATGGGTAGAAAAACCCTAAATGTCTTATGAATGAAATACAAAAATGAAATGGCACATTTCATGTCGAGTTGTTTAACGAGAAGCATCGACAGAAATAACTGTTTATGAGCAAAACAACATACTCTATTCAATTATGATATAACTAGTTTTTTCAGTACACCAGATTTCGTAATGCAATTCTGTTACGTGAACAGACCTCATACAACCGAGAAATATAAAGGTACTTTATTGTCGGAATTTGAAACCAAATCTAAGAGTATCAGACAACTATTCGATATTGCAAATGACATCATTTTTGACAATTATCTGCAATAAAGAAACAATAGGGTACTAGCCTTTTGTTTTCGCAGACAGTCAGTCATTATGACAACTCATTTACTGAACACTATATCTATTATGGTGAACATGCATTCCTTTCAAACGCAGTACTGTTCTCTAAAATATATATGATTTCTCGAAGCTCTGTCATCCTGAATGCTACTCCGCTGTGAAGTGTGGCAACTTCAAATAATGCACACATGGGGGTCGCTGGTTCGAATCCTGACGCAGTTCAGATTTTCATTTCACCTTCAATCATCACCCAGTATCAATAATACAAGTCTGCCAAACCACGGGTATCTCAAATAGTCAAACTGATAATGCACTTCTATGCAAGTTTTTGCGTTTTATTTTACATGTCCGTGTCTATTGTCTTAATGGTTCCCTTTCGCTCGTTTTAACAAAACTAACTACCTAGCATTCTACACATACAAATGAATAACATGCTCAATTTTGAGGTTTTTAGGGATTCGATTATTGATTTCAAGTTGGTATTCATCATGGATTGACATCAGTTGGAGAAAAATTAGAAGCCTGGGAGCACCAGACAGCTGGTTCGTCCTAGTATGGGACTCCTCATCAGTGCACGCTACCGGGAGTCGGACCCAGGGCCTCCATATTTCGCGGCCAGCACGTTACCCTTGAGCCACTGGGATGGAATCCAGTAGTCTATATTTCCTACTTGTCAGTTCACGACGTAGAGCGATCGCCATCCAATGTCGTCGCCGAGTAACTGTCCTCATGTTGGACTTGATTGGCTTCACCAGTCACTTCTCAGGCGCCCAGTGGTAACGTGCTCGCTGCGGAACCTGGTGGTCCTGGATTCAATCCCTGGCGGGACCATGGGTGTGCACTACTGAGGAGTCCAAAACAAGGACGAAACAGCTGTCCAGTGCTCCCAGGTTCCCAATGTTTCTGCAACTGATGTCAGTCCCTGATGAATATCAACCTGAAGCACATACTCCGAGTATTGTAAGTACGTAATGAAATTGCTTAAATTATACCTTGGTACGAATACATGTGAAAGTGAGCCACAATTTTAACATGATACATATGGATGTGTTTATTGCAGTAACTGCTAAGAATATTTTTCGAGAGAAGAAAACAAGAAGTAGCATTACCTTCACACATCCACTTTCATAAATCCCAACAACTACTAGAAGCTTAAAATCTTTTACACTAGTTGACTCTGAAAGGTGATCATCATGTGGCCATGTATGAAGGTGTAGAATACCATCCAAATGTGTAGAAAAGTAGGAAGAAGAAGGACGTTGCTTATCCATTTCAATATTACATTTCCTTTTATCGGGTTCACTGGCCAGTAGATAATAACGCTTTACTATTCCATACAATTTTGAATCATCAAAATGTAATGAATATACCTGAAAGAAGAGATAAAATCACATACAAAGAGTGATTAGTTGTGATGTATTACAAAAAGTTATAAAATTTACGTATACAACATACTGCTATCTTCATGTAACTGGGATACACGCAGATGCATCTCTAGCTGTCTAGTACATTAAGCGAATCAGAAGAGAAGTATTCATTACAATTTCCATATCAAACTTGTGAACCTAAGCATTCAATAAGAGAGAACAATCCAGAGGGAAACTCATGGAAAACAGCATACGGGCCGGAGAGCACTCAAATTAAGGAAGCTTTTCTTCAGTTAACTCGCAACATGAAATTGCTCGAACTCTGACTACGTAAAAAATTTCTGTGATAAACTAGGAAATATCCACTCGACAGTACTTAGTCGAAAAAGGTTGGTCAGAAACAGAAAAGATAACTGTTATCATAGTTAAAAATAAACCAGTTCTTACCAGCTTACCTTGCAAAAGAATTACTGTTCAACGGAAGATTAAAAATTCTAATAGCCATTTTAATAAGAACCTTTCGAGACACCGAATCAAAATTCACTCAGAAACCTTCTGCATATTCACGCGGAAGGTAGTGAGCCCTATCTATTGTGTGAGGGCAAGTAATTTCATTACTCAGCTCCTCAAATACCTTGGGTGGGTGAAGCGGTGTTCGAACCAGTGACTGATTGGGTGGAAGCCAACTTCCTAGACCAATGAGTCACAACTTCACATTCCGGACACCAGATCTTTACCATATCACATATTTTCTGACACAACAACTAGACACGGAGCTCGCAAATATGACAACACTGCGGAAAAACAACCTTGATCTCCTGGCGAACCAAAGAAACTCAACACCTATTCTCAAGGACGCCCAAGTACCTCTTTCCAACGCTACCATTGTGTGTAATATGTCTATAAGTATGCACCGTCTTTTCGTTCCATAGGCCTTTCGAAAAGCTGTGGTTCAACAATTACACTCTCTATCTCATCTGGGCATGCTAGCCACTCTTAGACTCATTAGTCAACGTTGTGTGTGGCCTAAAATGAACGCAGATATCAGAAGGTGGTCACAGCAATGCTTGTATTGTCAGCGCTTAAAAGTACATCGACACACGATTACCACGCCTCATCAATTCCAGCTACTTGACAGATGTTTCAAACACGTCCACGTAGATCTTGTAGGACCTCTCCCAGCATCCAAAGGACTCACCTATATATTGACAGCAATACATCGTTTCCCCAGATGGACCATCGTTTGCCCTAAAAGTGATATTTCAGCTGAGAATATTGCCTCCATTTTCCTTGATCGCTGGGTTTCTAACTTCGGTGTACTTACTACACTCACTTCGGCAGAGGCTCACAATTCCAGTCGGCCTTATTCCGAGATTTCACTCGACTCCTCCGAATGTATCGTGTACGAACTACAGCATACCATCCAGCGATGAATGGTCTGGTGGAGAGATTTCACCGACATCTTAAAAGCTCACTGATAGCACTAAATGACAGTACTAAATGGAGTGAGTTTCTTTCAGTCCTCCTGCTTGGACTCCGATCTATTACAAAAGAGGACCTAGGATGTACTCCAGCTCAGCTGGTATACGGAACAAACTTCGTCGTACTATGACAGTTGGTAAACCCATAGAATACATGTGAAACTGATATTTCTGTGTTTGCTGAGTAACTCAGTCAACGCATGTAGCTCTTACAGTCCACACCAACTGGCACTAGTAACCGCCGAGAACAGCTGGATAAACAACTTATTTCCTGAAAGTCTGTTTTTGTCTGGATCGATGTGGTTTCAACAACTGTATTTACGACTTTTTCCGGAGATTAGCCTGGCAGAGAAATAAGTCATAGTAAACAAACATTGCAGGCGAGAACCAGTAGACTTCGATGGACTCCAGCCACCTTTCGTAGCAAATGCAGTCTAAGTGAACTGCTTCAGAGTAAAACTTCATCTGCTAGCACCGATCCCGTCCAGCGTACAGACTACCCTCCAATTCCATTGTGCAGCACACGCAGTGGTTGACTAAATAACAAACCCAAACGACATGTACATTTAATTGACTGGTTTTCTACCCATTTCTAATTCTACATACTTTATTATTTTATATCGAATTTCCTGATAAATATACTTGCCGCTTATTACTACTATACTATATACAACGCACACAACTCACATTATTCATTGCACTTATACAAATATATGTTTTACAAGTGATTCAAGAAATGTGCATATTTTCGAACAATTATAATCATAATTAATAGATAGGCGTATTACTTTGTTTCCTAAATAATAAACATTTAAATAACAACCCCGGGTATAAATCTCCTTTTTATCTGCACATATTTTAGGTCCAACCTTGTATGAAAACTTTCTCTCTTCTTCCAGGCAGTTCCACCGGATTTTCTAGACGTACAGCTGTCGGGAGACTGCATGAAATTATGTATAAATCACTTAAGTTAGTGTTTCATTTCTATCACCTTTTACACATTTTGTACATTCTTCCTAATGTTTGTTAAAACGAATATTGTTTATCTGTACAACTTAAAAATTGGAATTTTTGTTGTCGCGGTACTATATTACCTTACTTCTGCTTTTAAGACGTGGAAATATAGAGTGCTTCTACCCACTCCGACATCTACTTCCGTCGACTACTGTCTCACGTGAATACTCATCAATTGTCCTTGGATTTTAAAGGACCTCTGATCCTACTTCCAAATATCACGACAATTAAGCCAAACAACATCGACTCGGGAGCGCTAACGATTATCGTCTACTGAACTAACATTGGAGTATACTAAATTGTGGTGGACAGTACCAAAGAGATAATATTCAAGCAAACCATTATTATCCATAACACTGATATTACCTATTTAGTATTATAATGCTTAACTATTCATACTTGTGTACATCACTGTTTCCATTTTTGTTAATCATATTTAACTTGTAATTTCTTTGGATCCACTACAAGCATGAGATGTGTGAACCAGATTCTTCTAACACTTCAACTAATGCAAATATAAAATGGCGTAACCGAATTTATATCACTTATGATTTCATTACTTGACTGCTCAAATACCTTGGGTGGGTGGAGCGGTGTTCGAACCAGTGACTGATTGGGTGGAAGCCAACTCCCTAGACCAATGAGTCACAACTTCACATTCCGGACACCAGATCTTTACCCTATCACATATTTTTAATGTTCTGCGTTTTCAACCTAGAGTGGTGTTTCTCCATATTGAGTAAAAATAATGAATCTTGCACCTTATATATAACCAGTGAATATTTTTGCTTCAATAATTCTTACTTTCTCTTATTTGAGATTCAGCTAACTAGTTTGGGTAAACTAATTCAATGTGTGATCATATTACTTTTATGCATTATTACATATCAAATTACAATCATTGCTATCGGTTTTCATAATAGTATAAAGGAGATTTACATGATAGTTTATTTCTTCACTCCACAGCTTTTTTGAGCTGCAAATGGTTTGAAATGTACAAAGTTATTATGGAATAGAACCATAACATAAACATTCGGAAATGTGTTTGACAAGAGGTGGGGTTCCTAACCGAAATATACTTCTTACTAACTAACAGTTGGAAAAGTCGTTTATTTAAAGTCGAAAACAGGATTTCATGAAATTGAACGGGTCGAGAGACAACAGAAATATAGTTGAAATACTCAAAAAAGAGCAAACAGAAACAGGAGAAACGCCACGTGTTGCAATGCATCAGACAAACAAGGAAACACAACTCCAGAATTAATATCTCATATGACATAAATTGCCATTGATTTCGGCTAAGCTTTGTGATGAATAACCCTGCATTTCTTTGACTCACTACTTTATTTTTAAGGTTCCGCTCCTCACGGAATGACATCCGTTGAGTGCGTACTGTTCAGGAGTCCCATGCTAGGGCGAAACAACTATCTAGTGCTCCCAGGTTTTGAATAGTTACCCAACTGTTGTCAGTCTGTGGCGAATGCTATCTCAAACATAAAATCCCTACTAACCTCAAAATATATCACCATTTCATTGATTATCTTGGATTTCGAATCTTTATTTATTTCTACATACTTGAAGTATGTCACGCTACTCGAAATAATAAATTCTAACGTTTCGCATGAAAGCCTGGTTCGGGCTTCGTCTTCAATGGAATAATCAAGATCTATATTATAACATATATTTATTTCTGAAACGGTCAAATCTTGACCAGGATTCATATAAAATATGTTATTATTGCCACCAGTATTTCACTTCAATTGTAGACTGCTTGGAGCTGATGAAACGCCATGAAATAAAGTGAGTTCACTTTATTCTGCAAATGTCTTCGTTCTGGCTTCATTTAGGCTTGTCAAGGGAACTAAATGTATGATGATTCTCATTTTGTTAAGATGCCTCTGGTTGTTCAAATGGTTCCCATGTGAAAACTTCAGATTCAGAGGCGTTGTCAATCCAACAATTAAAGCCTGAGCCCTGTGTACAGATGAAGTACCTCCATTCTCTTATTTTAACATGGTCATAATCCTTTCTTTTCTTGGGTTTCCTTATTGCTTTAGTATTCATCTTACTCTTCTTACTGACTGATTATCATTAATTTTTATTTCTACTTTCCCCATCTTAACCCCAATCTCCCACTAAACTTATCACAATGCTTTACTCAGATTATTGTTTGTGATTAGCATCATTATTTTTGACCTGTTTATTTTTTAACCTATTAGTCATCATGTTAATTCACTGTATGTTTTCCTTATACACACTTGATTACTTAATCCCTTTCTAACTCTACAATCGGCCCACAATTTCACCCTAGGATATTCTGTTTATATGACCTATTGGTCAAAATAGACTAAACTGTTCATTTGTTATAACAATAAGTGTACGATTGTACAGCTGCTGAAGACAATTCGTCGACAAAATTTCCTTCGATGAATAACTTGGTGTTTTTGAATGTCTCAATGGTAAATTTTCATTTTCAGAACTGTTCCTGGAAGCAAATAGGGTAGCCATAGGGATTAAAAATTTAGTTTGTAAACAAAATAACTTACTATGACATTTCCTGTATTAAAAGCAACAGCCACAAAAAAACCACTTTTCCAAAATGAAACAGCAGTTGCAGTTCCATACACTAGACCTGATACTCCTTTATTTAATATCCAGTGTTTAGAAGGCTTGAATTTCTTTGAATTATCTGATGAGGAACTTGATCGATGATTAGTTTTTACTGGACTTTTAGTTGTAGCTTTACAATTTGTTTTCGGTGACCCATTAGTCCCAGATGGATGAACTTTAACAGTATTATTCTGGTTACATTGAGATGACGGACTCCAGTAGGATGATTGACTAGGTCTAATAGTAATCTCTTGGAATAAAGAAGTTATTTCATCATTTTCATTCAATTGTCTGGGTCGAAATAAGAACTAAAATTATAAATTAACAACAGGAACATCATTTCACATTGACTGTTACCGAAAGGCAAGACATGAAACGGTAACCATATGCTTCAAAAGAGGAAGACATCATATATACTTTCTGCTGGTCTTCTTTCATGCATTACAGGATGGACTTCAGTAATTCTATATCAGATTTATTTATTTGATTTATAACACACAGTGATCTAGTATAATTATTATTTCTAGATCACTGTGTGTTATAAATAGAATAAACAAAACTAATATGGAATTAATTTCTATCACAATGCCCAAGTTTTACACCTATATTAAGGACTTCAATAACAACACAGATGTAGCTCATGGAATGGAAGATGTGAGCTAGACTCATAGTGTTAGGCACAAATAGCTTTAACAGTAGTTAAGCCACACCTACACCTATTCAACGTACAGTTGTAATTTATTGGTAAAAGTATGAAACCGTCAATAAATAAATCATCTGTTTGGACCATGCTTCACTCATCCGAGTTAGGGTAACCCCATGGCTGTCATACATAATCCGTAGTTTGTAGACTACTATATATATCAAATTTTCACTCGGTTACTAAGCTGTACGGTTGTCGTTGTTTGTCACCCAACGGTTAGAAAAGGTCGAACCAAAAAATACCACACTTCTCCCTGCCCAACGGTCTTCCAGTCCCCGTGGTATTTATTATCATTATTATTTGTCCCTTGGATTCTTAGTGGAACATAGGGCTTCAGTAGCACATCTCCAGTGTACTCTGTTCTCTGCAAACTTTTGAACCTGGCTCCACGACAACCCACAAGCTCTCATTTCTTCCTTGCACGATCTCCTCCATGTCACTCTCGGACGCCCAACTCGTCGTTTCCCATCTGCGTCCCACTCGAGGGCCTGACGCGTGATGTCCCCAATCAGCCTTCTCAGTGTATGCCCAATCCATCTCCACTTTCTTCAGCTTATTTGTTGGGTCATGGGTTGTTGGTTGGTTCGTTGCCAGCCAGAGTTCCTTGCTGCTTATTCTTTCTGGCTATCTAAGCTTCAGTAACGAGCGTAGGCAGTTGTTGATGACTGTCTGTAGTTTGTAGTCCTCGTGGTATAGGTTCTTTCTATCTGGCGTTTGGACAACCCAATCTCAAAACAACAACACACAAAAGGATGTGTGACAGGCCTCAAGTAGATGTTCCAAGGGCTCTACGGTCACAAAAATCTTTTTCTCTTCAGGTACCTTAGGAAGAAATAGCCTTCTACGATGCGGACATCCGGGAAGTGTCAACCGCACATACACTTTCAGCATTATACAAGACACAATCAAACGTAACATATCTTCCTCAACTCTTTCTCCTCCCTTTGCATTTGCCTCCTGACACTAATATTAGGTCGCTTACGCCTTCCTTACCCAACCTCTCACTCTGCAACCAACGTCAACGATCATAGCCATCAAAACCTCATTGCTAGTTCACTAAGACCCAGTCATCAATTTTATGCATGGGCTTTCAACGTCCGAACCTTATGCTAAATCGGACAGCAAACATCACTCGCCAGAACCCTGGGATCTCTAGTTATGGATGTATGCTGTGTCCCTGAGACAGGTATACAGGACCCGAGTGTGGTTATTAAATTGACCGCACCTGACCAGTGCGATGAATCTTCAAAATTCACCCTACGAGTATCCGGAGACTTAATGCCTGGCTCTCGTGGACTTGCTGGTGTAGGCTAGCATTGAGAGTTATAGAGGCGAAAGTGCACTTCTCGACTGGATATCAGTAAATAGCCGTCTATGTGCTGTCCTGATGAATAGATCTGTAATGATTAGGAAGCATCATGAGACCAACAGATGCCTATTCGTCGTCTCCGCCTATGCACCGACCGACTGCAGCTCCAATGATGTCAAGGATGAATAATTCTATGAGAAGCTTTCCGTTTCGCCACAGAAAGCAAACCGTTCAGATGTCATAGTGGCAGACGACTTTAACGCTCAAGTAGAGAGGCTGAGCCAATCAGAGAGGCATCTGGAAGGTATTTACAGAATCCCATACCAACGAACCGACAGCGATGATCGTCTGTTGCAATTTTGTTCTGATAATCATGTGTTTCTGGCCCGCACTAACTTTAAGCACAACGAGAGACACTATCCCAGACGGCATCTGCCGACTTCAAACCAACGATGGACACAGATCACATTACTATAAGCCATCGTTTGAGAGGATCGGTGGAGGATTGCTGCTCTTTCTGGAGTACCAGTTTGGACTTCGATCATGCGCTAGTACGTGCTAGTATGTTTCTTCATCTTACTGGTCTCAGGAAACAGGTGGCAGTGAAGCCTTTCTATGGTTGATTGGAAAATGATAAAGTCAATTTTGAATTTAGGAAAGAGATAGCTAAGCATTTATCTGAACATGACAACTATCTTCATCCTGAGGAAACCCGGGGTGATATTAAATCTTCTGTAGAAACATTGGTAAAGACACTTTGTAACCTACACATGAAGGTTAGGAAACGTCATTGGATTAACGCGATGTCATCCGAACTGATTGATGGGAGGGTACAGATTCCAGTTGGCTTTGACTACAACGAAGAGCAAAAGCAACTTAAACGCACGTTGACCAAGAGTGTTTGCAACGATCAGGAGCAGAGGTGGGTGAAGAAGGCAGGAGAGAGAGATGGAAAAGGTATAAGCATAAGGTAAAACCCAGCAACCATCAACGCTTATTAGGATGCCGGCAAGAAGACCATGATGGGTGAAACTATCAGTCAACCATCAGCTCTGTATGGGCTCATGTAATTATCATATGAAATGACGAAAGCTAGTGGTGTCCAGCAGGGATGTGCAGTCACCATTCGGATTTAACCTCCTCAGACGCACTAATGGACATAACCGTACGTACTTCTGACTTCACAGGGATTAGTCTCCCTGGAAGTCATCTGGTTGACTGGGAGTATGCTGACGATATTTTCCTGCTACATAGAGACGCTGACAAAGTACAGGGTTTTCTGAACGCGTTGAGTAGACATCTGAGTATGCTTAAGAGGCGCTTCGCTGGCAGCTGTCAAACGTAAGATGATGCTTTAGGACTGGTCAGTAACTACTCCCAGTTTAATGATAGGTAGTTAAGTGGTGGAATGTGTCGACCACTTAACCCACCAAACGGGCGGGTTGCTGACCAAATCTCAGCTCATATACGAAAGGCCCGTTCGGCATTTGCCAACTTGAGTCACCTGTGGTGCCTACTGGCGAGATATCCGACTATCTACCAAAGGACGAGTATACTGCGCTCCAGTCCGTTCTGTCCTGTTATACGGCTGTGAAACATGGCCATTAAAAGTAGAAGACATTCAGCAGTTTTGATCACAGATGTCTTTGTAACATTGCTCGTGTATGGTGGGATCACCGTGTGAACAATGTTGAAGTCAGACGAAGGATACTAGGCAAGACAGGCAAGTCGATTGATGAGGTTGTGAACTTTAGTCGACTGAGATGACTTGAACATGTACTGCGCATACCAAGCCACCACCTACCTCGATGTTTCATGCCAAAGGAAGTTGGATTAGCTTGGAAGAGTGTTTAGGCGGGTCAGACGAGGACCTGGCACCCGTCGATGAAGTCTCTCGCTGTTGGTTTGAGCCGTGTGGGGAGATGTAGACTGCTTGACATCTAAAGCGTGAATATTCACACTAATCTTCAGATTATTTATTGTCACATAACGTTGTGTATTTTGATATCAGTCTTTTTCTGTCCACCTGTTCTTTGTGTACTGCTGTTAAGTGTGGCAACTTGAGTCGATGCACCTATGTGCGAGGTTATACGTTGCTTTTGTCGGTCAGTCGCTTTTTCGGTGGGGATCCAAAGATTATACGACAGTTGCTTACAGTATAATTCAGTCGCTATTTAGGAATCCTCCTAATCTACCACCAAATATTTGAGTATCTACACCAATAATTTGAATAAGTAGTACAGTTCAGTAACGGATACACTAAACATAAAGAAAGCAGAGAAATCAATCAATACTGCTATGCACTCAAAATACCAGATGAAAACTTGTGCACCATTACTACTAAATAAGAAATAATGAACCCAGTTAACAACTAAAGATGAGAAGCACAAACAAAATAAAGTATTGCTTTTGAAAATCATATATTCTTACTGACAGATATGATATAAGCCTAAAATGTCAGAAATCCAACTTCTTATCTTAACAAGTTATCATCATAAATAATACACGTAGGAAATCATTTCACATAAGTACTTAGTCAAGAATGGATCACAATTAAAAATTTATTCTAATGATATTTTCTTTACTTTCACAGTATGACACAATGGGTTGCTGCAAGCAAACAATACGACAAATTTTAGTAAACACTACAGAATTCATTTGTGTCCATGTGCCTATACAACACTAATAACGTTAAATTTTCATTACAAGTAAACTGTACAACTAGTCTAGCAACGAATTATAGTAATATAGTAAAATCTCATAACTATTTTTAAAAAATAAACCTTTTGTTCACCTACTTCTACTCAGAACTACTCAGAGCCTGGTATGTTCTAAAAGGATTCGACACATGTGAAAGCCTACATACTACTAGCTCAAATACTTTGACAATCTGTAAAAGAAAACTTACCTGCAGGTCAGTAGAATGTCTGCGTCGTCCAACTACTAACAATGAACCACATTCACCAAACCAAACAGAAAATACCTCAGTCCAAAGCCCATGTACTGCATTTGGGTTTTGTATATTCGAAGAATTTGAATGTCTATGAGATGAAGAACCTGAACTCATATGAAAAGGCCAAACTGGACCGGTAGGAGTTGGAGTACTAGGAGATGGTAAACATGCTGCACCAACATCCCAACGTTTAATAACACCATCAACAGATGCAGTGAGCAATCCGATAGGTAGACAACTTCCTCTATTTGTATTGTGATCGAAATACATTTCACTAAAGGGAGGTTTAATTTCATCTGGAAGCAAACGTATAGCTGTGACCCAAGAAGCGTGTACACTTAATTCTACCAATTTACAACCATCACGAATACGCCAAATCTATTAAAAGAGGAACAATAATTTTTTGATTGTTTAAAATATCACATAACCAAAGGTTATACGACAAAAACCAACACAATGATGAGTAAAAAGAACTTACAAGTACTCGTCCGCTAGCAGTTCCTCCAGCTAAAATACACTGACCTTCAACTATGCGTGCATCCATAGACAATACTGTGGACGCGCACGAACATGAGAAGTGTAAACGAGGGAAACTATTACGGCATAATGTTTCTTGTTTCAAAATTTCTGATTCACAAATCTGATTTGTATTATCAGGTAGACACCATACCTGAATGAAAGAAAACAAACACTCACAGTAGAAATCTAAGAAGTAAAAATACAAAACAATTATCACCTTTCATTTATTCGTACACTAGTTGGTGCGAAAGATCTAACCAAATAACAAAACTGAAGGATACGCACTAAAAAGTAAGTGGTAATTGATTTTATAACTAATTAATAAGTAAATAATATCATGCAAACCGAAACATGTTTATGTACTACGTTATGGGCTATACTAGTAGTGTCAGAGTTTACGATATTACCCAGTTATCTTGGCCGAAGCAGGAGAAAGGGGTTAAAACTCCGAATTCAATGCTTCAAAATCGAGTTCCACTAGCTAAATACTTTTAACTTCGGTAGTACTCAAGACTAGCTTCTGAGATAATAATGAGAGAGAAGAAAAGTACTGCATAAGGTGAAATATCATTTGTTTTCCATTTCTATGGTGAGCTGTCCTTTCACATTATTATAACTGCTGCTTCTCATTTGCAGAAGAATATAACAACTACATGATTAATAGATATGGTAAAATAAGAACATAAGAAACAGAAAACTGATTTCTTAAAATTCGATCTCAGCAGTAGTTCTCATACAGTAACAGATATAAAGCCTACACCTAAAATAGCTCTTTAACAGTTCGAATTCATCCTAAAACAATCACAGATAAGATGATGAAATCACGGATCGCAGGTGATCATTATCTAATGCGCATACATTTAGTGTGAAACTGGGTGATAAGTTCGTAAACCAATGAAATATTCTGTAACATTATAAGTGATCAGACTACTCTGCTATATATCACAATCTAAGATCAAATTCAGACCTAAGTGTGCTAAAAGAACCTAGAAATATGTGTCCTTATTCTTAAAAAGAAAATATTCAAATAGGGCTTTTAAGAAAACCGTTAATGTGTTTAGACAGGTTACACAATGTATCTATATCAATTTATTATCAGAGAAAATATGAAATTAGAAAATACTTCAAACTGCATATGAACACAGATACTATGGTGTTTTCGCATAGCATGTGGGTTCTTACTTATTGCTATGGCAACACAAGCGGTCGGCATATTCGTTAAAATGAATCACCACCACTACGCTAAAGCCATTCACAATGAATATGTTAATGATTACATATTTGCCTATTGCCTGGTCTAGTACAAAAAATGTACATAATGATATAACGACTAAACAAGATAAATCGTAATTTCCCATTATTAAACAGTGTCGAACTGCTCGAGATCTCTGTTGGTAGATGGGCTCCTATGTGGATGTCTCGATACTAACGAATATTCACTATGTTGTATTCATTCTGGTGACTAGCAGTAGAATCCATGACGAGCGTTTCGTTTTATTTAGGACTCGTCAACTGGATGTACCTGCATCCCAGTGGGTGATGTAGTTCATACTGAAACTCGAACCCAGTAACCCTCGCTTTAAACTCCAATGCGTTATCCACTAGGCCATTGGAGCACGAGAGCCACCTCTTGTGCAACGGGTATCAGTTGTTGCTTGATACTTAAAATCTCCCATTGCTACAAAGGGTAGAATTTCTCGATCTCCGTTGGCAGATGGGCTCCTATGCATATGCCTTGATACCGCCGAATGTAACATGCTTAGAATTCCTGAAATTCTTTCGGTCGTAAATACCAAAAATACATACCTTTTTCTGTAGCGAGAAACATATCACTGGTTTCTAGTTAAACCCATCAATTTGTAAATCCCTAAGAATTAATATTATCCTGTCCTCTTAAAAAGTTTGTGATCTTTTTAATAGTTAGTTTCAGTCATGTAAGCAGATGTCTGACCAGAGTCATTAGGATAATAGAAATCGTTTGTTGGAGACACCTTAGTGACAGAGTTTAAAATTGGTTGCAATGGTGCAGATGTAGATGCTTCATCCTCTTTGAAGTCCTAAACATTTTCACTAACCGTCAACTATATATCTTCTCTCCTCTAACAGACTTTGGCCAACTTTAATATCACTCATTTTCCATTCATCATTGCTTTGCACAATGCAGTTAAGTGTGATAACCTGTATGGATAGAATTTGGTGTAACATTTTACATTTATACATTCAGTGCAGCAACATGAATCTACTCCTTAGGTAATATGTCGAAAACACAGAAATATGCTTTGTAAAATGAACATACTATTTGCTAAGTAACAAAAGGTATCCAAATCGAACAGTTCATACAAAAACATATATTATAATCTTAACACTTACCATGACTTGAGTAGATAAAGATGTTGCAAAAAATACAGGTACATTCTCTACTTCACTCGAACTGTCCGGATTTATGAAACGGGGCAAAAATATTGCACACGATGCAGCAGGTCCAATTCCAGCATGTAATGTTTCTGTATCAAACAACTGGTGACGATAAGAAAAGATGAATATATACATATAGAATAGATTGAAGTTAGGAAAGTAATTGGTGTTACTAAGGAGAATACTGAATCGTATTTGAAAACAGTAATAGCAATAAGAGATATATAAAACTAGAAAACTGCACTACAGTGTGATTTACAGATAGTGTATGAGGGCTAACGAAACTGCTTAGTTATCCAAATATCGATTAAAAACTGGTCGAATGTCAAATGACGTTGCTAACTGGTGATTAGTTCGTAGTAATGTGGGAATGATCATCTAACGTTGTGCTACCTGCTGATGTATTTACTAACCTATTAAATGATTTGCTAGGTAAATAAAAACCAAGCTGACATGAAATGGTTTGTTTCATGTTGCTACCTCGACCAGACACCCAATATAACATTAGTCATGGCAGCGAAAAACTAAAAGTGTAGGTGGTTTCTCAAAAAAGTGTAACTTTCCCAATTTTTGAAACTATCATATTCGTATTCTCTCGAGTTTTATGCCAATTAGAAAAATGGAAGGTCGACATCTTCATCTACACACAAAAAAAGAATAGGGTGCTCGTGTCAAAAGTCCTAATTAATAGCTTTTCCAATAAGAAGAAAACTTGAACAATAACTGAAATTGCTGCAGAAGTATGCCTTGATGACACGATGTAGATATGATGCTCATTTTCGTGAAAATTCAACAAACCATAATCCCTCACATAGATCAGAAGAAATCTTTCTTCATAATTCGAAAGCGTTACCGTCCCTAAGGTTACATAACCCAATACTTAAACATTGTTAACTAAAGAAGTCAAATAATGTTCATAATTTAATTTGAATAAGCAATGAAATGAACCCGTTAGTTTGTTAATGTGCTCAGTATGATATTCTATTCTCGATGACGGCAACTCTTGGTGTGTGAAATTGACAGGTTTTAAAAATATGATCAAAAGGTATGGTCAAGTGAAACAATTCAAAAAATATCAAAATAAGCGGTATTGATAAAGTCTTCAGTACAAACTTTCCTGATGAATGGGAGACTAATCATCTTACCTGAAGCTTTTCATACTCTTCAAATATGTCGACTGAAAATCTTTGAGATAGGTATTTTGTTACAAAATCGATCGATAGTTTAGTTGAAATACATGAAATCCAACTTAATACATCTAGGTTGTATAACCATATAAATCCATCTGATAAAGAAACAGCAATCAAATTTCCATCTTCTGAAACAGAAGTTAGATGTGCTTTCGCACCGGAATGAGCACATAGTTGTGAATACCAATGATCTGGAGACAGATGCGGAAGATTTAACTCCCTTGAACAATCAAGTCTCAATTTTCCATCACCACGTTTCAAATGATAGACATTCGGTAATTTCGGAAGTGTTCTTGAGTTGACTCCATCTACACGATGTGACACAGAATCAAGGGAACCTTCACCAACCATAACCAAAAGATCTAACGTGGGATTAGCGGCTATACACTGAAGCTGGTACGTGAAGTCAGGAAGCAACTGCTTAGGCTAGAAAGATGAATAGATAATAGACATTAACACATTGCATAAATATCTAGAAAATAGACAGGTTTTTACTCGATATTTTCAGGAATATTCGTTGGGAAACGTATCCAATCTGATTCTTCTCATATCCTTTGAATATCCAACGTTTGTTCACGAATCACAAATAAGTGGAAAACAAAGGATGATGCTTTATGATTTTGACTCCATGCAACTTTAGATAACTTTCTCCGCGTAAACATATCTTTTAAAAATGAGCACTTCCTTATTTTAATACCTGTATCATGAATAATTAAAAAGGACTTCCTCTTATTAGTGATTTGAATAATCCTGCAAAAACTATTGTCCCAAAAATCTGCAACTTCTGCACCCAATTCGTGGAATGAATGACGTAAATTTTATTTCAAAAATGACCCCTTCATTTACCGTTATGCAAAACAACTACAAACTTTATGAGTAAGCCATAATGGACAGCTGGACAAAAAGGAGCGAGTAAAATCCTGTAATCATTTACACTACCTAAAACGACTGAGTTAGAAAGCACTGTAACATACATTTTGAGGGTAACACTAACATCATTAATGAATAACTAACCTCAGCAGTAATACAGCATGGCATATTCTGTGCACCATCAACTCGAGCTATCTCAGTTAGTCGAGGTAATTCAGCCAATACAGTTGGCGCTGGAACATCAATCGGTAGAGAACCAAATACAGATAATGCCATATCTGAACGTTTTCGACGTCTAATTGTTCCTGAATGAGATGCATCTGAATCATTCGATTCTACATAAAAATTGACGCTTTCATCTGTCAAATGTCGACCATTTTGCTTCAAATAAGTTAAACCGTAGACACTAACTTCATCATCGTCATTACCTCCGGCATCTAAATCACAACTACCCCTGTGGTGTAGAAAATAATCATTTGGAAGTTGATCAATCTCATCATCTGACATGATTTCATCAAAAGGATAAAACTCTCCACTTGGAATTTGTTCGGCAACAGGAAGTGTTGAAATTCTGAAGGCAAAGAGAAATAAATACAGTACAATATTCTACGAAGGACAAAACATAACTGTATAACAGAAGACAAATATAATACTTATGCTAACTAATTATTGAAGTGATTTCAGAGCTAAGCGGATAGAAATCAAAATACTGAGTGAATACATAGCAATATCGACTCGGGATTATTAGTTGTACCAACTAATGCATTAGCTGAAATGAAAGATCGTGATTACCGGAACACGATAAGAACAGGCTTCAATTACTTGACCAAAATTTTGAATAGGGCATAACCTCGAGTGCGTTGAAACCAATAGCTGAGCAACGAAGTGTTCAGGTATTAAAGTATTACGCAGAAAAGCCAAAGCAATCAAAGAAGTTATGACCTAGTTGGAACATGTGTCACCTACGCATAGTAAGATTTTAAAAAGTCAAAGTTGGGTAAACCAAGACACGACCCAATGAACAAAATTTCTTACAGTTGATCTGAAAGGTGTAGCTATATATCGATTTAATGGGTGGGGTCCACAACATAATCAAAACAGACCTTTGGAGATTACGCGACACATCTTGGAATTCATCAGAGAGCAGGAAGACATATTCAAAACTTATCTGTGTTTAAATGGCATTATGACATATCAGCAGTTACCCCGAGGTTTCGGACAAGCCTTGCTGATGAGTGACAAAAAGTACGAAACGTAGGCCGACGGCTTCCAGCCAACATCAATATTGTAATTCCCTCTCAGTTCCTTCCCCTTTTGTTCGATGGCTTCTCAAGATTGTCGATTATTTTCATTTTCTTTCCTTAAATTTAGCGTCACTGTGTGAATGCGAGGTGTGGTAACTTTGAAAGATGAGTAGTTTTCCAGGTTCCATGTTGTATGTGTTAATCAACAAAAGAATGTACGAACTGCACAGTTGAAACGTATAGGCAGATGACAAGTTGATGCTAGTGAATCCGGTTTTTTCATTGGGAAAGAGAACTGTTAGCCCATTTACATCTGAGATAGTCACGTTTGGCCGCGGCAGGATTCGAACCATCGACCTGTCACGGACCAAATTTTCGGTTCACCTTCAACCACCACACAGTATCAACCCATTTATAGTTGAAACAATTATCAAGTTCCCGATGGTGTTTCAGTACTTCCAGATAACAACCAAGGATGACAAGCATTCAACATTGCATAAAATTGAAAGTCAAAGTGAAATATTATTATCGATTACTTGAGTATCCACTAAACAATGAATCAACTTCCTGTGAATAAAAGCAACACTTCATCACTATGTTGCATTTCATAGCAAAACGAATATTGCAACTGTTCGGTTGACTGTAGGATTCTTACACAAAAATCCTCGTTACATCTGAGTAACATGGAATATCTGGTGGATGTTTTCAATTATGGCGACATATGTCTACGAAATACTTTGAAGCATTTTCACATGCATTGAGCGACATAACTGGGATAGTTCTATGTAAACTCCATCTACTCGTTGTCCACTAGATGTTTACAAAGTATCTCAAAGCATTAGTGACACTCAACAAAATCACTGAATACATATTAGGATAGACGCATACGAAGAAGCAACCCACAGGAGTCACTAGTCTTAACATCTGCTACATATCAGTTTCCAGACTTCCTACAAAATTATTGGTATTATGGAGTGTCGTTTATTTTCTTAGCAAGCTGTCTATGCAATATGAAGGCCAAGTTTAGGCCTGGTATGTCGATGAAGAAAATGAAAACTTATTTATAAAACTTATAAATGCTCTCATTCATTTGTGTGTTTAATCAACTGCCAACTAATTCCACACTTGGAACTACCAATACGTCAACAGAAGTTTAACAGCAAGTTGCAGTTAAATGATAAACTGCAAATAACATCATGAGACTCACAAATCACTTATTAGCCTATTTTACTGGGTCATGAGCCCTACCAACCTAATAATCTGACAAGTTGTAGAACACTTGTTCCTCAGACAGTTGAGATTCTTTATCTATGCTGTGTCTCTCTACGCAGTAGTACTTATCTGAACGGCGTGATTAATCTCGTATATAAATGCCACATCTCGTATGTTTGATTCCCCTACCCGAAAGACGATACACATAGTGTGGATCACTCAACGCCACGCAGTACAATACAAAGTTTTGTGGTTATTCTCCGCACATTATTTCGAAAATCTGGGTCGTCTGTATATGCAACTGAATTTCCTGTCCATGACGGAATATTGTTTAAAAAATGAAACAACCAATTTCATGAGCAGGAAATGAGATCATACACAGTAACTGATTTCAGTCAACAGGCAATTATTTCAGAACTATGAGTTATACAGATATGGGTGAATGGTCAATGGAAAGATTTGAGGCCAACTATACAAAAATGTTACCGAATAAGTCTCAAGTGAAACACCCTTAAAGAGAAATAATATAATAAAACCGACAGAATTGGTCTGAGATCCACGTTTTCTATTTTTCGCCCCATACAAGAATCTATTTTACCACACAGGAACAATCTAATTGGTAAATACAAACATACGCAGTGATGTCTTTAAGAAAATTATTCACTGACTCAAATCCCGTTCAACTGTTAGTACTTCTTTGGAACAAAATTAAGAAAGCTTGAATAATTTAGAGCTGATCACAACGTCCATAAAGCAAGGTAAGTTCACGATTTGCCTTCTCTATTTGCTCTTCTCTATTACTATCACTTGAAGTATATCAAAATAGCAATGAACTTCATACTTAAGCAAACTAGTAACACCATAAACTGATATGATAAGAACAAGATCTTTAAAAGCAATTCATCCTATCATAATCAATCTACATCATTGATTAAAGATTTGTTTCTTATATTCTTTGTAAACCATGTAAAACAAAAATGTCGAGTTTGAAATTCATTTTAATTCAATAAATCATCCACTAAAGTACACTGAAAATAATAACAGCAGAAAATAAAAGTAATAAACCACTTACACTAAACTGCCGTTAGATCCACAAGTTAAACATTCAGTGTTATTTGATAAAAAGTTTAAAAATTTGATCTCAATCTCAGGTGAATATACCTATGAGGAAAAGAGAAAACAACAGAGAGAAAAAAGGTTGGGATACCTAAATGTGTGATGAAAATTCTTTTGCTATTTGGAGAGGAACATGCGTACTTCGAAACAAAAGTAACGGCGAAAAAGCAATATCAACACAAATTGTCTCAGTACTACAAAAACTTTTTCGACGGTTATTATTGTCAGAGAATTATTTTTTAAACAAATAAACACAAAAATTGAGTAGGTGATTTATTGCCACGTGAAAACGATCATATTTACCACTCAAGTCAAGTTTTATGATAACACTGCGTTTAACGAGAAATTGGAAAATGTGAGATTATGCTTGAAGATAGTAAAGGTGTACATGTTACGATGATAGTTTGGTCCTGTCTGAGCTTTAGTATCTTGTCGTGGACCTTAAATCACCAGGTTTGTTGGGATCCTCAGCACTAACTTCATTAAGTTAGTTAGTTACCGAAGCTCCCAGAAAACCAAACCATCAACATCCTCCTTATCCTGAACTACCAATCTTTCCCATTATTTCAAACTCTTCAGCGTATAAATGCCAATGTCGTAAAATAAGCTCATATGACTAAGTACTAAAAACAACTCCGAATGATAATGTTTGAGACTTATGGGAATTCACTTGAGATTTAAGAGTTTTAAAAGTTACCGTCATGTAAATAAGAACAATAGATATAAGCGAACAATATTGTTCTCAATTAGTTCCTCTGCAGGCTATATATATATATATATATATATATATATATATATATATATATATATAGCCTGCAGAGGAACTAATTGAGAACAATATTGTTCGCTTGTATCTCTTGTTCTTATTTATGGGGAGGCATCAAGGACTAGAATCAGCTAGAGAATCATTGGAAACCTGGGAGCACTGGACAGTTGTTTCGTCTCATTATGGAACTCCTCAACAGTACGCACCCACGACCCCGTACCGGATCGAACTAAGGACCTTCAACTTTCACGGATCCAATTTCAATGGTTGGATGGTTAACACGTTCGCCGTGGAAGCTGAGGGTCCTGAGCTCAATCTCTGGCGGACTCGTGGGTGCGTACTGGTAAGGAGTCCAGTGCTAGGACGAAATAGCTGCCAGTCCGTGATGAATACTACCTTAAAAATAATAATAGCAAACTTTATCTCAGTAAATTTATTATATCTGGTAAGTATATAACACTACTCCAAAGACGAAATAAATGTCTACAGTTAAACCGTAATTCATACTTCACTTTTTGAAGAGATTCACCTCTGATGAACATAAAACGACTATCAAAGTCATTCACACCAGACAGATAAATAAGAAATAATTGTATCAAAATGAAGTAAAACAAAAGAGAATTCGAACTTTAGGCTCATTTTCCAACCAGTAAATTATAATTACCAAACCAAGTTTGTCTCACTTAATTTACCCATCAATCTAACGTCGTTAACTCCCATAAACATATGCCACTATAAGTGTTAACTAAGTTTTGTAGATTACTGTACTTGTGATCGAGGTTCCAAGGTAACTTCAGAACCACGTATTTATTTTGACCGATGAGTTCTGCAATGTTTTTTTGAAATATGAGGAGATCGAAAGATTACGTGTAGAAAACGCACGACGAGACAATATTCTAAGCAATGTAAGAAGCTGTAGGCTCTCTGGTTTGGATCTTTGGAACAACCGGAACTGATTTCTGATAAGCTTCAACTGATAAGAATCGAAAGTGATTGCATTGACAAAGGTTATCCCTTTATTTCCACGTGGTATAGTTGCGTTCTCTGAGCTAACCAACCAGTTTAGCCGTGAAGCTATTATTCTCCTCTTAGAATATATTTCCATTCTATCTGACACTACTTGATGTCGTTTTCTATGTCTTATTATAAGTCTTTATCACAGCTTGAAGACGATCGATGAGTACACCTCTCACTCTAAATGGATAGAGATGTGGCTCATTGGTTGAGGTAGTTGACTTTCAATCAGTGAGTCACCGTTTCGAAATCCGCTCAATCTACCGAGGTCTAGGCAACTGCGTAATATTATCAACCATCAATCAATAAGTGTGGCCTGTTTCATAGACCTGCATGTGCTTCATTTTAAGGGGTAGATCAGGTTTTGAATTTAAAGCCCAATAAATAGCACTCAAGTTGTTGTATTTCTAACAAACCTTTTAGAAACCTTTCAAACCTATTACTTACCTGATGTAGTGCAACTTCATATCCAGAATTCGCGTCTAGAAGAAATACTCTACCATCACTTGTTGAAGCTAAATATCGTTTGCGAAAACGGTTATTTAAATACAAATGATTTAACCCATCAGCTGAATCTTCTTGTTTATCTGTGTTTACAATACCAGTGAGATTTTCTGTTGCAGTGTACGGCAGTTCAATAGCTAGACATGTGATAGCTTGTGATCCAGTTGGAATGGCCCACAAAAGTTGGGAAGCAGCAATATGACTGTTACTGATGGAAAGAATAAAGAAAACAGGTGTAACATTATACTAAAAGTGATTTGAAATATTCCAGGTAATAAGTTAGAGTATTCGCATGTACGAATGTAATTCTGAGATTAAAAGGTCAACTATGACGGTAGTTGGAACCTAAGCTTTAGAACGGTAGTTAATTTTGTGGTGTATGGTACTACCTAGCTGCCCAAACCTCGATAGGTGGAGGCATGTTCGAACCCACAACCCATTAGTTGAAAATCGACTGCCTAAACAAATGCGCCATATCTGCACGAATCTTCTATAGACAGATATTACATTGGTTGGTAACTGGAGAGCAATCAATACTATACCACTTTTTGTTATGTTCACTGATTTCCCTTTTCGACCTACAAGGTATCAGTAGTGCATCAGAAACCCTCTTCACCTGCTTCAACTTGAGTAACCCCTCTCACATAATAATTGCGGTTCATAGCCTGGCACTGAAACGTGCACTAGGTCGTGATGTATTAGAGTGGGTTGAGTTTGTAGCGTAGTCGACCGAAAGTAATTGACACGAATGCCCTACTGAGAAGCAGTAAAAACTATGTGCTTATTTCTTATAGTGATTATTATTCCAAACTACAGGAAAAGAAAGATTTTTAAATCACAAGTTAACCCCCGAAATGTCACAATAGTGAAGAATTGGGAACACTGGTGACCAGGAAATTTCATCTTCGAAAAAATGAAATAAACATAATAACTAGAATAATCAGGTTATTCATAAGAGGAGACGAAATCGAGAGCATTACAAAAACAGAGTACGCCTATTGGTTTCTATGTCCACTCAAATCCTTATAGTTGATTGTCTCCTTGTCATTTCTTGCCTCGGTATGCAGTCGAAAAGTGTCACACAGAATTGATGTAATATTGCACTAACCTATAAGCAGGAGTCTATTAAAATGTAGTCAACCTTCTAATGTGGAACTGAGGCTTATTATATCAGTCACCTGGCTTTCAACCATTGGGTTACGAGTTTGACTCCTGTCCCACCTACTAACGGTTAGGTAATATAACAGTCCTCATATAACAGGTGTGGCTTATCGCCTGATAATCGACCTCACATTTGGTTGATGGTTAATATTCCTATACCTTACAACCAAACCCACCTATCTACAATATAAGAATAACTATAATGGGGCAGTGCATTTCTTACAAACCAGCAGTAAATAATCAGATTCAAAAACCAACCACAATGATAAACTTTTCACTGCAACAACAACCTAAAGAAGTACTAATGATCAGCCTTGAAAAGAGGAAATTTTCGTCATCAAATTTTAACGAAAATGACCGTGACACGAAACTAAAATTAATGGGAATAATGACAAGTTAACACTGAAGGTCATATATCGGCGTAATTCCAACCAGCTGGTAAGATGATCTTCAGTGAACTGAATTCATCATCAAAGCAAAAAGAACAACTCTGAAAATCTTGTTCTTCTTGCTTTGGTGAAAACGATCAGGGGAAAACATCGCACGTGTGAATTCTTCATCTTTAAGTTGAATTGTCCATGAGAAATACATCCAAAAAAATGTAGACAAAATTTTGTGGAAAAATGTTTTGACCTATGAACCTACATTTTCAAGTGATTTGTACTGAACAGGATTGATAGCCCGATCATTTGAACCCGTTATTAGAACAATCACATTTTTTAACTAATTCTGACACCTTAGTTTGGATAAGAAATGCTTGTATGTGCTCATTTCGATGCATAAATAATAAATTATTTCCCAGTCTTTCGTCGTTATACAAACTCAAAGGATATATCATTGATCAGTCGCTGCAGAAAATCAGGGTGCTCGAGGTAGACAAGAGGTCTATCCTACTTTCAGAACACATATTTCGGTCCATGACCTGAATCCAAAGTGATTTAGTGAATTTTACTGACTTCGGAAAGCAGTAATGTCAACTAGGGCACTGATGACTACTTTCTGATGTCAGTTCAAGAGGAATCCTACTTATAATCCTTCAGATCAGTTATCCACACATAATGATTATAGTCAGTATCGGGAAAACTACCTACAAGTAAGATATTTCAACTCCTGCTCGTCCCTTGGATTCCTAGCGGAACATAGGGCTTCATTAGCACGTCTCCATTTCACTCTGTCCTCTGCGGTCTTTTCAACCTGGCTCCACAACCGCCCAGAAGCTTTCATCTCTTCCTCACACGATCTCCTCCATGTCACCCTCGGACGCCCGACTCGTCGTTTCCCATTCGGGTTCCACTCATGGGCCTGGTTTGGCGCGTTTTGTCACCAAACAGTCTTCTCAGTGTATGTCCAATCCAATCCATCTCCACTTTCTTCTGCATATTTGTCAAGCGTTAGGTTCTTGGTTGGTTCGTTGTTAACCAGCCAGAGTTTCTTGTTGCTTATTCTTTCTGGGTATCTAATCTTCAGTATCAAGTGAGCGTAGGCGGCAGCTGTTGATGCATGTCTGCAGTTTGTTGAAAATGCTTTTCGTAACGCGCCAAGTCTCTCAATCATCACATAGAAGCACTGACTTGACTGAATTAGTGTTGAAAATCCGGATCTTGTTCACACTTCATGCTGAGTGCAGTGCAGTAGACCTCCAGACTGATTTCAGATTAATGAAGGCCTGTCTTGCTGCCTTTCCGATCCTGGCTTTGACATCCCCATCTGTGCCGTCACCTGTAGTTGAACCGATAGTGCATAGGTAGGTAGGCGAAAGAGACTGCTTCCTTAAGATTTTTCCCGTTGATGGTGATTGGTGCTTGTTATTGCGGTTGGTTGGGTATCTTCATCACCTCCGTCTTCTCTACGTTCACCTGTAAAAAGTCCCGTCTTCACTGCCCTGTCTCTTCTGCCAACTTGTTAGTTCTCAACTGTCGATCTTCAAGTTTGTACGACATTAGACATAAACCATCACCGGCGAAATCCAAATCTTCTAGGCTCTTTTCATCGGTCCAGCCAGCGTATGTCCATCTTCTCGCTCCTCACAGTTTCTTGCGTGATCCAGTACAGCCCACCACAATCAGGAAGATCATCGGTGATAGTAGGAAGCCTTGTCTTACCCCTGTCTTCACTTCAAAGGCATCACTGAGATTTCTATTGTCAATCACTCGGCATGTGGCATCCTCATATAGCATATAGCTGTTGAATGAGGTTGATAAAGGATTGTGGTATTCCGTAGTGTTGAAGCAGCAGTTGCCAAATTACTTCTCGGTCGACGCTATCAAAGGCCTTTACAAAGTCAATGAGGTTGAGGTAAAGCTCCAGTTGACTGCCATTCTTTACTCTGTTCTATGATGATGCGTAGCGTTGTGTTGCAATTTGATCCGCACATGATTTGTTCTTTCTGAAGCCAGTCAGCCTGTTCCGGTCGTAATTTTGAGTCCAGTGCATTGTTTAGTCTCTCCAGGATGAGGTGGCTTAATATTTTGTTTGGGGTGGACAGCGGTGGAGCGTGATTCCACGCCAGTTCTTGCAAAGACTTCGGTCACCCTTCTTTGGGAGTCCGCTGATGAGGTACCCCCTTCTTTCAATCGACAGGTAGCTTTCATTCCTTCCAAACCTTCTGCAATAGTTGTGTGAGCATGTCCTCTGCTGATGTCTCTGTATCGGTTTCCAGTTGTTCTGGAGGAATTCCATCTGGTCCTGCTGCTTTGCCGGATTTCAGCAACTTTATGGTGTTCACTCATGCTTTTATCGGAGGGTTTGTGTTAACTGGTAGTTCTTTGACTAGGCTGCTGGTGGTATTTGTGGACGAGTTGCAGGTGGTGGTGGTGGTGGAGTTCTATTCAAGAGCTTTTTGAAATGGTCAGTCCATCGTCCCCTTTGTTTCTCCTCTTTGATAACTGGCTTTCCTTCACTATCTTTCACTGGTTTCGTCTGTGTTGATCTCTTCCTAAATCGACAGTAACCTGATTATTTGATATAGTGTTTGTTGTCAGGTCTCTGTATCTCCTACCTGCAGCCTGTTCTGCTTCGCTTGCAAGTGTGTCGTAGAAGTGTCTTTTGTCTTTGCGTGCACTCTTCTTCACTTCTTTGTCCAGTGTAGTGTTTTACAGGTTGTGTTCAGTTCCTCTTTTCGTTGTTCATCCCTGCATTGCACTCCACCGGTTCATCTTCTGCCTCACCATCCTCCTCTCATTAGTCTATCAGCTTCCATGTGTCCGTCGAGATCCATTACTTGTCTTACTTCTTCTTCCTTCCTAACACGGTTATACAGGTTTCCTTCTACGTCGCTTTCACAGAGTTCCAGTGTTCTCCCACGTGGGTTTCCTCGGGGATGTTGTTTAATGTCACCCACTTTTTCTTGATGACTGACGTTAAGATGTCCTTTGTAGTTTCGTCCTTCAGTTCAGTTTCTGTTCTGGGTGTTGAACTTGAACTGTGGTCTATCACCAGCTTCTTTGAAGGCTTTCAACTTGGTTTTGAAGGCAGGTTCCTTGCACTAGATAGTGAGTGGTACGAATCTACCTACATCTGTTCCCCTTCCTGGTCTTGTGTCCAGTAGGCTGTGTCACCACTTTCGTCAGATTGAAATGAGGTTGATCTGGTTTTTAGTGTGTCCATCTAGTGAAATCCATGTCGCTCGCTTTGTGAATATCCTTGTGTTTGTACACACCGTCTCTAATCACTAAGTCATTAGATGCACAGAAGTCTGCGAACAGTTCTCCATTCTCATTCATCATTTCACCGAGTGCCTCTCGACACATGATGAGTTCTCTTCCCGTGTTGTCTGCTCCCAGTTTACCATTCATGCCACCCATTAGAATGTTGGTGGGGTCTTGTCGATTACTGATTGCAGTTGTCTGTAGAATTCCTCCTTCTTCTCTTGATCTGCATTACTTGTAGGTGCATAGCGTAGCATTGTATGATTGTGACTTTCCTTCCTTTCGAGTTGAACCTTGCTGTCATGATCCTGGAGGAGATTGGTTTCCACTGCATGAGAGAGAGCCTTCGATGCTGTTGGGGACATCATGATAGCCACTCCAAAACTCTGTGTGCTCTTGGTTGTTGTCTGGGTGACAATGTTGGAGTAGATTATTGACTCTCCAGTTGACAGTTGAGAGAGTCCACTTCCACTCCATCTGCTCTCGTAGATTCTTAGCACTTCTGTGCTTTACTTCCAATCTCTTTTGCAATCTGGGTAGCTTTGCTAGGTTCAAACACGGTGCGGACATTCCATGCCTCCAGTCTTACATTTGCTTTCATTGAGGGAGGACACATCGGCCGACTGGCTTGCCGAAGGCCTTTACCAACTGGCGTCATTTCGTCTATCCGATTCCAGTGAGGAAGAAGTTTTTTTTAATATTTTATATTAGAAAAGAAGAAAAAGCGAACTAAACCAATTTCATAATCTAGACTTTCGATTCCAACAAAATAGATCACAAAATGTGATGTAAACTTAGTTACTATCAAATTAGAGGTAACATTCGGGCACTATAGTAGGTTGTAATTTCATCTAATAAACAAACTGAAATGGAATTAGATACCGATAAGCTAATAAAACGTAATATTAAGATATATACTTAATTCAAGGTAGCTGACATTGAGAATTTGAGCGGGACGTGGAACATTTGTCTGTCTATAGGTCTTGACCAGCTGCAACACCTATACAATTTCCAAGTTTCCCTAGACATTGGCTGATACCTATTTGCACTAGCGAGTAAACATCATAGAAACTGTGTTCAACATTTGTAAACAGTTGTTATACACTTTCAAGTGTTGTAATGGGTTCGTACATGCTTCTGAGCGGAACAAAGGATAAGTTATTATACACACTTGATAACATTTACCAACACTTCTAGGAAAAATACAAAGCTACTATACAGCTGAGTGGTATTTTCTCGATATACAAAGCTTCAGTCCTATCACAACCAATTGAAAGGCGCGTAAGCTGGGATTCAGTCGAGTAGTGCCCTTGGGATTGATAACATACCTACACCCCCAATACCGCGAGAAGCATTTATGGAATCGCCAGAAACTCGAAGGGTGCATTTTGAGGATTCGCCATACTGACCGGGTGAAACTAAGTGTATAACCACAATTGGCTTCTGTATGCGTGCCTCGTAACACAGCACACGCCCATGGCTCGAGATGTCAGAATTCTGGATAGCGTAGCCTGTTCGCCGATTCGACGGAGAATGGGTAATATTGAAGGCGCTAGTATTTAGCTATCAGCGCGGTTCCAGAAAATCAAAAACGTTGTTCTGTTAACTCGAATCGTTATCAAAGGCTTAGGAGCCGGTAGAAATTGAAGACATAAGAGTGTTGATCAAGAGACATGAAGGAAGATTAGAACGTAAGGATGTTCAAGGTTGACAATGGTCTGAAAGAACTGACAGTGCTGTGAGGGTGGTTGGCATTTGCCGGTCACCTACATATCTGAAGGCATCTGAAAGAAAAAGTTTATTAGCTGTAGTGGTGTGTGATCCCAGAGCACAAAGGATATGAGGTTGAGGTAGGTGGCACATGACCTTTTTAGAAGTTTGACACTTAAGTATGCTTTTTGTTAACTCAGCTAGAAAACTGATACCGGCGGCGCCAGAAGACGACAGAGTAGGGGAAGTGAGCTGTTTTTGGGGTCGACTTTTCCTAACGCCACCTTCCCACAGGGTAGGCCACATCAGCAAAGACCCCCGGTTATTCGCCGGAAGTACTTCACTGTTGTCACACTCCGTTCAGCTAACAGAACGATTTCGACCTCAAATTTCCACCATCGTGCTGCACAATGGAAACTGCTTTTTATTTAATCACTATCCAATAGATCTATCTGGCATGTTAGGACCTCAAGGGAGAAAAGTTCCAGCCAGCATATCCTGTCCATTCATTGTGATATATAAGCCCGATCTCTATCAAGGTGGCGGCTATCGATGATGATATAGCTGTCTAACCCTCAACAAAACGAAAAAACCCAGTGTTACAACAATTTTCTAGGTCTTCGATTCCGCTGGTTACCACCAATGGGGTTTTCCTCGGTCAGATTCCAGCAATTTCCTCTCCAGACATTATTATTAGTTGACTTTGAACTTACTTGCCAATAAACTCAAAGGAAGCTTCCTCCGTTCACGTTTACGCCTGTCAATCAATCTTCGTCTTTCCAGCGATAAAGACCTATATATATATATATATATATATATATATATATATATATATATATATATATATATATATATATATATTCAATTACTGTATCTGATATCGTGTTTTTTGCAGTCTTTGCAGTTCATGTACAAATACAAACTGATATCTGCATTTTTCTTAAGGCGTTTAATGGAAATACACATGATGATTACGACACAACTTACCACCAAAACCAATAGTATTTAAATGCCCTCACAATTGATAAACTTTTAGAAAAATCTTCTTTTGAAAATGGTTGCATTTTCAAAACAGCTTGATAACGTTGAGTCAGTAATTGGAATGCTTGTTGAAATACAGGGTTGTCCTGTGAAAGACTAAGTCCCAACTGTAGTAAATCTATGCCTTTGGGTCCCGTAGAATTATAACCAAGACGATTTGGTACATTCGCTGAGTTTGACTTCATTTTGTGCACAAATGGACTCCGTCGTGAATCAACAGGACTTATACACCTAGAATCAGGTCCGAAGTTAGGAGGAGATAAATCTAAATTGACTACGGAGCTTCTATGTGATTTTTGACATAGAGATCTTGATCGTTCATAATCCTGTACAATCGTTGGATCAATGACATAATAGGCGTTCGTTTGGATAAAACGAAGATAGGCCAACCTAAAGAATTTTGGAAAAGAAAAGTATTTATTTAGTCTGATAAGCTTTGTACATAAAATTAAGTGATATGATTCCCCAAAAAACGATTCCCAACCATCTTGCCTGAAATGATTGGATAATCGGCGACTGTGGTAAGCTGTAGACCAGTCTGGAAATTCCTATCAGTGTGAATCCTTCCCAAAAGTGAGTGAACAGTCTAATACTCTAGCGAAGCATACTCATAAGTAAGTAGAAATGGTTAGTGTAAATGACTTTCTGTCTGAATTTACACAAAATAATTAGGTGTGATTTTTAGCATGTTCATCATGTATGACGGTGGACATTTTATTACGCAAATTGCATGCAGCAACTGCAAAAATTATGAAGGACCAGACATCAGCAAAACCATCTGCGGTGACAAGATTCAATCAATAGCCTACCTCTACCTCTTAGGAAAGATAATACTGCACAATTAATGAATCCACACGTGACATTCGGTCGAAAGACAAACTCAAAAATGTCTTATAGTAATCTGGCAATTTATAGGTGGAGAATTAAATCTCCACACAAATTACGCTTTAGAGTTTTCAGGTTGGTTAGATTAGAGAACGTACCCACAAATTTCATAACTGTTTATAAAGCGTAGAATACAAAACCCTTTTCTAGATACAACTTTTCTAGTGGCCAACCGATTTGGTTCAATCAACGACGGGAAATTACAAGCTAAGGTATCTAAATTATACTATACCTGTCGCACAAGGAGTGGCTATCATGGCTCAGTAACCTGGTGGATAACGCACTGGAGTTTGAAGCGATTGATTCTGGGTTCGAGTCATGACGGGGACGTCACTCACTAGAAGGCAGGCATGCCCGGCTGAAAAGTCTCAAATAGGACGAAACGTGTATCCTGGATTTCATTGCTGGTCTTTATCCATCCTGAATGTCAAGCTAAAAATACAGGCAATATAGAGGCATCCGCTTCAGAAAACGAGTAATTAGAAGCCATTCTATCTAAGCTTGTCTAGGTAATAAATTATCTTGGTTGTGCTGCGTTTACTGAAGTGGGTGGCTTATTCGTGAAGCTTTCATTGTCTTTCTGCACAATGCCAACATCTATCGGCATTTCTCTGAGAGTGATTCAGTAGCTTCTCCTGACGAAGTGACTTGTGACTAGTTGTTTCCTTTGATTGCAATGTGATTGACTGCAAGGATTTTCTTGTTGGCTTTTTCTCTACCCGACCTCTAACCTTGCATTTTTTTTAATCACTTCTCTCGGCTGATAGACTGGGTCAATGTCTTTACATTTATTGAGTGTTGATTGGCCTGAATGCCAAACTTGTAGAAAGTCTCTGACATTCTTTATGTTTTCTTTGCGCATGATCTCTACATTTTCAAAGTTAGAATTATATCCATAGTTATCCACGTGCATTGGTGAGCGACGAAATGTCGTGACGTTTAATAGCTAACTGACTGATGTTAGCGTAGACGAAGGTGAAAAGGGTGACCACTTTGTCCTATGTAATACTGACTGCAATTCTCGTAGTTGATTTCGTAAATAATATTTGATCACAGGAAAAGACAAGAGACGGTTGCAGCGAAGAAACACTTTTCTTTCCGACGAAGTCATTTACTACGCTGCACATTCGTGAACACATTTTGCAGTGGGTAAAACATTTCAGAATTATTCCTGGTCGGGAGTCAAAGTATGTTGGATAACGAAAGGAAGTGACGTAATACAAACGAGGGTTTAGAGTGGGACAATTAACTGGGGATTATGAAAGGGAACTGCAAAACTTTCGGCGAACTCTAGTAGAAAACGATTTCCCGCATAGATTCATAGATAAGAGCTTAAAGTCAAAGAATACAACTCGACAAACAAATTTAAAACCGAAAAAGATTCTTTGTTGAATCTTAAGTTCAAAAATGGCATTACGGCAGGCATCCTCAAAAACGATTGTCAAGATCCTAACATAGAGCATACTTCCCTGCAAACCCTAAAATCATTTTCTCCTGCAAGAAACTTCCTAGTCAATGTGTGGAAGATAAGCTGACACTTTGGGCCACATGAATGTGTGTATACCAGATCACTTGTTCCTGTGGAGCTGAGTAAATCGGCCGCACCATGCGTCTGCTTGTAAAACGTGTTCGTGCTCCCCAGCCTGGCTAACAAAGAGAAGACGTAAAGGCATCTTCAGCTGAATAACAATAAATTGTGCAGTCATTCAAAATCTTCTACAAGGTTCGAACAAGTCACTAGAGGGGAATGAGATCAAGGCATTTAGGTCCCCCTGAAGTACTAACCATTCAAAAGTTCAAACAGAGATTGAGTCCAAAAAAATTTACGTTCAACCTTTCCCATGGCCACCTTAAGGTCTTGACTATCACAGATTTTTCCCGTATTACCCAGCTAAACTTTTTATTTTTACAACCCCTTGTTTATTTTCCTACTCTAAACCCTCATTTGTATTACGTCACTTCCTTTCGTTATCCAACATACTTTGACTCCCGACCAGGAATAATTCTGAAATGTTTTACCCACTGCAAAATGTGTTCACGAATGTGCAGCGTAGTAAATGACTTCGTCGGAAAGAAAAGTGTTTCTTCGCTGCAACCGTCTCTTGTCTTTTCCTGTGATCAAATAATATTAGATTTATTTTCTTTATCTGTCCGTTGGTTTGAATAATACAGTTTGAAGGGAATTTGTTGGTTCATGAGCCACACCAATTCCAAGTGGTCTAAGTAATCTTGTCATGATTTCATATATGTTCTTCATGTACGGTAGGATGATCCGTTTGCTGATTCCTATGGATGATTTTGTACATGATGAATGGGATAGGCGCCTTCTGATGAAGCTTCATGAGCAACCGTTCTTTTTAGGACAGACATCAAGTAATTCACTTTGTATCTCCGTAAAGTTGTTGTACTGCAGCGTGTTCCTGCCCTTTTAAATAGGGTCTGTAAGCGACAAATTTTGTACGCTGCTGGGCTGTTGCCAGTGTAGTTAAATTTTTTTAAAATAAAGAAAGCAGCCAAAACAGTAGAAAGTGGTGAAAAGATACGAGGGATAAGAAAGTACTGGATTCAGTATGACGATTAGGATGAGTATAAAATTTAAATAAATGAAAGCCGCTGACGTAGATTCGGAGTCATGTCACCTAGAGTCTCCAAACCGTGGTTTCTACTGTCCCACGGACTCCAACCGGTAAGTCTAAATTTCCCTACACGCCTTAGACCAACATTAGTCAAAGACTCCATGAACTGATACCATGTCTTACTCCAGTCGCCACTAATCTTTATCCAACTTAAACCTATTTCAGCTAAAATTGTGTGACTAGGCTGATAGTGACTAGGCATGTGTAACACGTGTCCCGGCCACCTCAGTTGAGGAAGGTTCACAACATCATCAATAAACTTTCATCTCACTGAAACTTTACACCTGATTTCTGTGTAACTGACGTGGTAAAACTTCAACACTCGGTCCATGTTAGGAAGGCAACGGCGGCTATGTTTCATAGCCACAGAGTTAAAAAGAATGAACTGAAGCGTAGTGCACTCGACTCTTAGTGAATAATCAAATATCAAGACGACGCCGTAAGTGGCATAAGTTGGCAAAAGGTAATTCAGCCTTTTGTATCCGTACATAGATATCGTCGGTCACAGACTCATCAGAAGAATTGATCGAATTTCCTAGGTAGGTGAAGTGCTCAATGAGCTCAATAACTTTGCTCCTTATTGTTAGACAAGACCACTGACAAGCAGTCCCAGAGCAGGACTAAATCATCTGCATGATCTCAATTTCCTGGGGATCCTCCTGTGATACAATCAATACCCGTAGTTAGACGAACAGAAAACCTCCAAAGTACGTCCATGGTAAAGTCGAATAAGAAGGGAGACAGTGGACATTCTTGACGAACACCACTCGATGTATATAACTCATGATGGACTCTAAAATCCCCGCAGGTGTTCGAGCACAAAGCCTTCAGCACAGCGTACTTATCTAGCACTTCTTTCAGTGATAGGCACTGTAATGAAACCTCTAGGTTGATAAAGTCGGGTATCACTCGCAGGTCAAGAACTACAGCTAATTCCAGGAATCGATGTGTACCTATTTTCTAGAACTTGGTGGGTAGTGGATATCTTGTCCATACAACAAACGACTAGTTGTGAAACGTGTCTTGTGTTCCTGAGCTCCATTTAGACGTCCTAGGATTAAAGAACCCAGAATCTTAGACATTGTGTTCATCAGGCTGAGTCCCCTGAGGTTATCATAATAGGATTTCTCACCTTTTTTGAAGACTAGAACAACCAACTGTCGTGAACAGTCAAGGGGAATCACAGCACACTAGCTAACCCTCAACCTGCCGAGTAATCTTCGACCAACGTCCTTAAATGTCTCTAGCACTAACCCGCCTAGTCCTGCTGCACTTGTTCGTTTCAGTTTACTTACAGTTTTCTCGACTTCATCAAGTTTTGAAGGTCTTATCTATGTTTTATCCAGACTTCAACTGGATAGCGGGTGACGAAACAGTAGCTAAAGGTCAGTTGAATTATTTCACGAAATGTTCCGTCCACCGTTCCAGTCATTTCCCTGCAAGTGGATCGCAGACCTACATTTCTCTGCTATAGTCTCACTGACCACTGACCTTATCGACCAAGTATCCTCAACAAGTCTAAATAACTATCTACTGTCACCAGTCGCCGTTGTTTTTTCCACCTTTTCAGCCTTTACTGGCCACTACTGTTCGCGATCAATGCATAAACTTTTCGTTCGTTTACATTTGAGTTTATTCCGCTCCCCATTATACTTGAAGCCTGCTGGGATGTGTTCACATGCATGCATTAATTCAGAAGCTGTTGATATCCAGTACTCCTTTCTAACCACGTTCTGAACGTTGGCTACGGTCTTCATTGCTGTTTTTACAGTGGACAGGAAATGGTGCCAATCTTCTTGTGAATGAGTGATGTTGTTCTGTAACGACAAGTGTTTAACCAGTTACTTGCTAAAAGCAGTTTTAGTATTCTTATCGTCACGCCTCATTCGCAATGGTCTTTTTGCTGTAGTTTTCCCGCGCTTCTTTAGGTGGAGGTATATGCGTGCTTAAACCAACGGATGGTCGCTGTTTAAACACGAGCTATAGAAGGAGTTGCGGTACCTGGAGATAAAGGTTGTTGTTCCGTAAAACCGAGTCATTATCAGTAGCTGCAAAGCTGATCGAGAGACGTGCAGGAAGATTAGAACTGCTTTTCGCCTCACTGCTATCTATCTGACATTTCTGGTAGAGTAGGAACTCGAGAGAATAAGAGTTTCCTCAGCATAGCTCCTCAGGTCTTTGTGATGTGCAAACCTGACCACTACTTCAAGGCAGCAGATACTAGTCGGGACCGGTAGACGTGGGGAAATGTAGATGAGTAGACCTAGGTAAATAACCTTAGTTGTTGCAACAAAGGCAAAAAGTATGAGGACCAACAATGTGAGATTTTTCGACGATTTCGTTGATGAGGCTGTGCAATTACATTTATATGCAGCTTTTATTGAGAATGTACAATTTATTTCATGTGTGAAAGCAATTAGTTAAGTATGGCAACAAGCAAATGTAGATAAAAAACAGAAATCTTATTTTCATCCTAAAATAATCAAAATGTTTATGAACGTTAAAAGATATCGGTCGTTCGATGCGGGTTCAAAAGGCTATAAGGAGATAACCATGGATCTATAAGAAATACGATGGTGAAAAACCTTGACGACACTGGTCATCCATTCTCAACAACTACCTCTTGCAAAGTTGATTACGAGGTGAAAAGAAGCTTGCCAAAGTCAGTGCGCATCAGCCTCCCTTGTATTGGTGAAGCTTCAGTCATTCAAATGAAATAGCTTTGCATGCAAAAGAGACATCTTCAACCCTTACTTCTTTGGTGATTTTAATCTTTAGCGCTTCAAAAAATCCACCCGTTCTATCCCTTTCACTCCATTGATTTCTTAAGTATTATCAACTACTCCTTGTTTTCATACCCAAAATGATAACAATTCATACATTACATATTTTGTCATGTTATTCGATTCATTATTCAAACTTTATCATCATCAATTAATTTCTATAACATCTTGAGCGATATTCCCTAATCCAAGCAATCCTGCAATGATGGGTCATAACAATTCGCTTGTTACTTTGAAACATTTATAAACATTTTGATTATTTTAGGATGAAAATATTTCGATTTTCTGTGTATCCCATGCTCAACTAACTGCTTTCACACATGAAACAAACTGTACATTCTCAACAAAAAGTGTGTAAAATGCTACTGTACAGCTTAACGAACAAAATCGCCGAAAAGTCTCTTAACGGGTTTGAACTCTGCTTCACCTACAGAGGCTTAGGCAGCCAGGCAGTATCACTAGTCCTCACACAAAAGATGTGACTCAGTGCCAAATGCATAAATGTGCGTAAGGTAGTTGAGTGTGTTTCGTTTCGAACTAAACTACTTGTTCTCGTTTTCTTACGTTCTTATGGGGATTTTTCGAGAATTGACGGTGTTTTCGTTCGACAATGGAACAAAACAACCACATAATTACTCTCTAGAATTCGATACATTACACTTTTGCCAGACAATGGGATGATGTTAAGTATTCACCATAGCAATGATCTGGAAAATAAATCTGAGATGTACACAAGAGATTTTACCATCATACTAGTATGTTTTTGCTCACTAAGACATTTATATAGCGGTTGTTACTTTTCTCAAATCGAGCTCGTGCCTATGGAATACACAACTGCAACAGCATAAACATGAACAATTCGGCAGGTATTAGTATCAATACAGAGTGGTGAAGTAAGTATTCACTCATGACTTATTTGAAAACCGAATCTAAACGTCACAACAAATGAGCGGATAACCCACTTTGTCTGACGACAATTATCAACATTAGACGAAATCACTCCTTGGCAAACTTATAAGACAAAATAATGAAATAATAACAAAAAGACGAGTAAGATAGTTGTGATAAACAATATTCATGATGAAGAATTACCATTCAGCCATTCTATTCACAGTAGTGAAAACAGCACGAAAACGTTGAAAATCTGCAATCACCGGTGTTGTGCCAATAATTTTCAAGCGTCCACGAAGAAAGTCTAGGTTAATTAACAAGTCAACTAATTTGTCAAATTGACCGGCTTTAAATAAATGTTCAGCAGCATGATTCCAGAAATAGACATGTTCCCATGACGACACAAGTTTCAACCATCGACCACGACAGAAAGTGGAATAGTTCTGAATAAATTTGCCATGGTAATTCTAGGAAAATCATTTTATAAAAGGAAAGACGATAACAGTAGAGTATGTTTTGCTGAATAAAAGTTACACCTGGAGTTAATAACAGTTAATGCTCAGAGACTTAGAGCTAGAAATCGGCGAGAGCAGATGGAGTGGAAGTGGACTCTCTCAACTGTCAACTGGAGAGTCAATAATCTACTCCAACATTGTCACCCAGACAACAACCAAGAGCACACAGAGTTTTGGAGTGGCTATCATGATGTCCCCAACAGCATCGAAGGCTCTCTCTCATGCAGTGGAAACCAATCTCCTCCAGGATCATGACAGCAAGGTTCAACTCGAAAGGAAGGAAAGTCACAATCATACAATGCTACGCTATGCACCTACAAGTAATGCAGATCAAGAGAAGAAGGAGGAATTCTACAGACAACTGCAATCAGTAATCGACAAGACCCCACCAACATTCTAATGGGTGGCATGAATGGTAAACTGGGAGCAGACAACACGGGAAGAGAACTCATCATGTGTCGAGAGGCACTCGGTGAAATGATGAATGAGAATGGAGAACTGTTCGCAGACTTCTGTGCATCTAATGACTTAGTGATTAGAGACGGTGTGTACAAACACAAGGATATTCACAAAGCGAGCGACATGGATTTCACTAGATGGACACACTAAAAACCAGATCAACCTCATTTCAATCTGACGAAAGTGGTGACACAGCCTACTGGACACAAGACCAGGAAGGGGAACAGATGTAGGTAGATTCGTACCACTCACTATCTAGTGCAAGGAACCTGCCTTCAAAACCAAGTTGAAAGCCTTCAAAGAAGCTGGTGATAGACCACAGTTCAAGTTCAACACCCAGAACAGAAACTGAACTGAAGGACGAAACTACAAAGGACATCTTAACGTCAGTCATCAAGAAAAAGTGGGTGACATTAAACAACATCCCCGAGGAAACCCACGTGGGAGAACACTGGAACTCTGTGAAAGCGACGTAGAAGGAAACCTGTATAACCGTGTTAGGAAGGAAGAAGAAGTAAGACAAGTAATGGATCTCGACGGATACATGGAAGCTGATAGACTAATGAGAGGAGGATGGTGAGGCAGAAGATGAACCGGTGGAGTGCAATGCAGGGATGAACAACGAAAAGAGGAACTGAACACAACCTGTAAAACACTACACTGGACAAAGAAGTGAAGAAGAGTGCACGCAAAGACAAAAGACACTTCTACGACACACTTGCAAGCGAAGCAGAACAGGCTGCAGGTAGGAGATACAGAGACCTGACAACAAACACTATATCAAATAATCAGGTTACTGTCGATTTAGGAAGAGATCAACACAGACGAAACCAGTGAAAGATAGTGAAGGAAAGCCAGTTATCAAAGAGGAGAAACAAAGGGGACGATGGACTGACCATTTCAAAAAGCTCTTGAATAGAACTCCACCACCACCACCACCACCTGCAACTCGTCCACAAATACCACCAGCAGCCTAGTCACAGAACTACCAGTTAACACAAACCCTCCGATAAAAGCATGAGTGAACACCATAAAGTTGCTGAAATCCGGCAAAGCAGCAGGACCAGATGGAATTCCTCCAGAACAACTGGAAACCGATACAGAGACATCAGCAGAGGACATGCTCACACAACTATTGCAGAAGGTTTGGAAGGAATGAAAGCTACCTGTCGATTGAAAGAAGGGGGTACCTCATCAGCGGACTCCCAAAGAAGGGTGACCGAAGTCTTTGCAAGAACTGGCGTGGAATCACGCTCCACCGCTGTCCACCCCAAACAAAATATTAAGCCACCTCATCCTGGAGAGACTAAACAATGCACTGGACTCAAAATTACGACCGGAACAGGCTGACTGGCTTCAGAAAGAACAAATCATGTGCGGATCAAATTGCAACACAACGCTACGCATCATCATAGAACAGAGTAAAGAATGGCAGTCAACTGGAGCTTTACCTCAACCTCATTGACTTTGTAAAGGCCTTTGATAGCGTCGACCGAGAAGTAATTTGGCAACTGCTGCTTCAACACTACGGAATACCACAATCCTTTATCAACCTCATTCAACAGCTATATGCTATATGAGGATGCCACATGCCGAGTGATTGACAATAGAAATCTCAGTGATGCCTTTGAAGTGAAGACAGGGGTAAGACAAGGCTTCCTACTATCACCGATGATCTTCCTGATTGTGGTGGGCTGTACTGGATCACGCAAGAAACTGTGAGGAGCGAGAAGATGGACATACGCTGGCTGGACCGATGAAAAGAGCCTAGAAGATTTGGATTTCGCCGGTGATGGTTTATGTCTAATGTCGTACAAACTTGAAGATCGACAGTTGAGAACTAACAAGTTGGCAGAAGAGACAGGGCAGTGAAGACGGGACTTTTTACAGGTGAACGTAGAGAAGACGGAGGTGATGAAGATACCCAACCAACCGCAACAACAAGCACCAATCACCATCAACGGGAAAAATCTTAAGGAAGCAGTCTCTTTCGCCTACCTACCTATGCACTATCGGTTCAACTACAGGTGACGGCACAGATGGGGATGTCAAAGCCAGGATCGGAAAGGCAGCAAGACAGGCCTTCATTAATCTGAAATCAGTCTGGAGGTCTACTGCACTGCACTCAGCATGAAGTGTGAACAAGATCCGGATTTTCAACACTAATTCAGTCAAGTCAGTGCTTCTATGTGATGATTGAGAGACTTGGCGCGTTACGAAAAGCATTTTCAACAAACTGCAGACATGCATCAACAGCTGCCGCCTACGCTCACTTGATACTGAAGATTAGATACCCAGAAAGAATAAGCAACAAGAAACTCTGGCTGGTTAACAACGAACCAACCAAGAACCTAACGCTTGACAAATATGCAGAAGAAAGTGGAGATGGATTGGATTGGACATACACTGAGAAGACTGTTTGGTGACAAAACGCGCCAAACCAGGCCCATGAGTGGAACCCGAATGGGAAACGACGAGTCGGGCGTCCGAGGGTGACATGGAGGAGATCGTGTGAGGAAGAGATGAAAGCTTCTGGGCGGTTGTGGAGCCAGGTTGAAAAGACCGCAGAGGACAGAGTGAAATGGAGACGTGCTAATGAAGCCCTATGTTCCACTAGGAACCCAAAAGACTAATAATAAACTCGGAGACATACACAAGCCTTAAGTTCTGTGATTAAAAATACAATTCATGAGAAGTAAAAAATTTACTTAAGAAGTTTTCACGATTGTACTTGCATACTGGACTATCTTATAAACGCTCATGAGAACAAAAATAACTTTCTCTAGCCACCATAGCTAACAGTTTATCAGGAAATGTGTTGAAAATAATCTCAAGAATAAAACTTCAGTCGGATAAGGTGAGATGTTATATATTCCTTACATTCCAGATTCTATCGCCTAAGTCGGCAGCACATTATAGTTGGTTTATTAGATTCATCACACTGTGGAACAGTATTATTTACTGGATTACTTTTGGGACATAACTTATTTGTCCATAGTCATATCAAGATAACTCCAGAACTTTGAAACGTGGTTCACACGGTTCTAATTCTCTGACCAGCTTTGTGATATAGGTAGTATGTATCCGGAACAGGTGTGGGCCATTCTTATTGCATGTGTGTCGTGTTGCTTCGATAAAGGAAGATTCGGTTGTCAATCTCATCCTCGACCTCACTAGTTTAGTTCTAAGGATTTTCACTTTGTCCCAACCTACTGCACGGTTGCGTGTAATTGCATAAATAGCTATGGTCGAGATATTTTCAATGTTCCTTATTTTACCAGGATGTACTAATTTTAATTTAGCTACGGTTATGCATTCGGATAGCCTAACTCTGGCTGACTACTTCAACCTATGTATTTGACCTCCCAATCGTTGTAAGGGACTCGATAAACTAAATTATTCTGCGTAATTGGGTCTATAGGATCTTTTAACCTACGAAGCTTATTTTTAAATGAGGAAGGAAGGCACTTCAGAGATATTATGTAGGGTTCTCACTATAAGGGTAGGATTAGAATGGCATTAAAACATTAAAAGTCACCTGGAAATAAGCTTTGCCGGTTAAGATCCTATTAATCCAATTAGACAGAATAACCTACTTCACCAAATCCCTTGCAACGTTGCGATGTCATATACATAAGCCAGAGTAGTCGACCAAGATCAATTAGGCTATCCGAGTACAAAAACCCAACTAGGTCAAAATTGGTAGTAAGATAAGGAATCTGCAAAAACGCTCCGCCATAACAGGGTGGAGGGAGAGATTGATAGCCGAATCCTTATTTATCAAATCAAGACCTAATGCATGGCTCAGCACATGTTCTGGATATATAAAAGATCCCACTACTCATCACAACGGAGGCGAGAAAATTAGAGCTGTATAAACCATGTCTCAAAGTTGTGGAGTTATATTGATATGACTATGGACAAATAAATTGTGTCCGAAAAGTAATCCAGTAAATAATACTGTTCCCTTGTGCGATACATCTGACAAATCAACTAAAATGCAATTACATTCTATCACAGTGCTCAAGTTTATTAGTGAAGGTTCATGATATCCTTCAAGTTCCAATGCTCTGAGTACCATCAGAACTGTACGAACTATGTGGACGACAATGTAACCAAGCTAGATGCACCTAGAGAGTTGCATTGTTTTCTGAGGAAACCAAAATACTATCTAGTGGACTTTTACAAACAAATAAGTATTAAACAGCCACTGTTACAATTTATGTAGATCGGTGCTAAGAACCAATTTTTTTTATGTTTAACACGTCTACATTTAGACAGACAGACGGTGGATCAGTCAATCAATATTATTATTTTAAACGCCTAACTACGCATATACTTAAATATATTTTCCTTCGTTTATTGCCTTCGGCTGAAATACACATTCATCGTATTTTCTCCATTTAATTATTCGGGCCAAGAATCAACTAGGAAGTTGTTGAACGTCAGTGGCTGACAGTAGATAGCCATGTACCGACAATGCCCATAGCAGTTTCAAATCAACACAAATCAATTCACGTACACCACTGATGAAATCAATTACATATGGAAGAAACGATTGATATACGCTTGAATAACCTCAACATCGTTAACAAGAGTTGTTATCTAGTATCAGAAGTTTACAGCTGTGTTGTTCGCTAGCAATCTGCACTCCACATAAGTGTATTGCTGACGAAGGTATTTTGAAAACCAACAACAGCTCCTAAGAAAAAACTTCTGAAATTGCAGTTACCCATTATGAAAAGCTTTGAGCTTTAGGTATAAGACAACTGACTAGTCAACGAAAAATCTATCAGTTGACGCACAGAAAACTTTTTAATGTTAGCAATAGACAGAGGGAAAATAATGGAGAAACTACCGTTGACAAATTCAGAATAAACTACTCCATGAAGTCTGAATTCGTTTCACAAACATTGTATTAACAAATATATTCTTAAAACATTAGTTTCGACCTTACACAATCATCAGAGAACAGAAATTATAAAGTAATGAAATGAAATTGTACACATTAACTCAATAAAGTGCTTAAAGAAGAAATTACTTTAATAGCTACTTACTGCTTGCTCAGTCGGGTCAATGGACGATTTCAAAAGATCTAATTGTAGACCGTGTATAGTATAACCATAGTTTGCTACTTTGGATATCCAATGTCGAACAGCTAGAGAATAACGTCTGTATGTAGAAAGCATCACTTCAGCCTTTTCTGCAGGTAGTTCCCATAAGATCCCACAAACCTAAGAAGAATAATAACGGTTCGCAAACAAGACAGGAATTTAGTTAACTGCGTGACATTGAGAAACACAACAAAGCTCACAGATTAATTCCTAACTGTGGTGTGGTAAAAACATCCATTTCAGTAGTACTATTAATCAACAATTCAAAACAATAATAAGTTATGAGTTCTAGTTAATTCAGTACAAACGTCCTACTTCATAAAATCTCAAACTAAAGTACATCTAAAATTTGATGTCAACAGTTCCGACACCGTAGCAACTTTACACATTGCAAACAGAATACAAAATGATTTTTTACATCACTTTTCAAATAGACGCTTAAGCAAATAACATGAGCAGATACGAGGTTTGCTCGAGAAATCCTTGTCTGAGCACAAAAAAGAGGAAGACAACCGGAAATTATGTTCATACTTGTAAAATAAAGTTAATATACATATTGTTTATTCGGTTGTTAACATTAATCCCACTACCTTTTACAAACTAAACATATAAGAAATAAAGGTGTCTTCAGAAAACGTTTAGTTGACAAGTATACACAGTAAAGGCATTTGATGAAAACTCACCCATCTACTTTGCCCCAAGGTAGGATGGTGATTTCAAACGAAGATATGAAAACATAAAGAAAGGATAAGCCTACAGATCCTAAACATTTGAAACAATAGAACCAAACGCAAAGACTGAGTCTTTTGTCTGTTAGAGGAATGTTAGGTTGTTACTGCACGAATCAACCACATCTAGAAAAGGACATACATCTGACAAATATTGTTCACATTTCATAAACATATTCGACTAAATTTCAATAGAAATGTCCCTGATAACAAAATCTTTCGCGTTTTGATCCCATTTTCCCAAATTATTAACATCTTGAACAAACACAATGAGATTCATACTCAGAAAGAAATTATAAAGCATAACCACCATGTTATCTCCAACGTTGCTGCATCCGTAACCTGAACAAGTCAGTCCAAGCCCAATAAATCTGTGATATGATGTACAGATAAATCGATCAGAAACAAGTAAATTTGACGAAAGTACCGCCTCAACTAAAAATCAGCTAATTATATCTGTGGTAGTATTCATCACGTACTACCATCAGTTGGAGAACCACTGGAAACCTGGGAGCACTGGACAGTTGTTTCGTCCTAGTATGAGACTTCTCAGAACACCTACGACCCGGATAGGGATCGAACTCAGAACCTTCAGGTTTCTCGGCGAACGCGTTAGCCATTCAGCCACTGGTCTACGGTTTTCTACCCCTGTCAAGTTGCTATATAGCGCGACTACCAATCAGCCCGTGTTGAATACCACCTTAGAACCGAAATCATCATTAATCGCAAAATGCATTGCTGTGCTCATTAGTGACATGCTTCCAGATGGATATCCTGGAGTTCCAATGAGAACCCGTGACAGGTGTGGTCAACCAGTCGGAAGTGAAGGGGATGCCTACTGAAGATCTTGGTGGATAGTAGAACTATATCGCGAATCGCTAGAAGTAAGAAACTGTAGACCATTGAGTTCCAACCCAGTAGCTGAGCGGTTAACGCATTCGCCATGAAACCTGAAGGTCCTGAGTTTAACCCATAGCAGGATCGTGGGTGCATACAGCTGAGGAGTCACATAATCGGACGAAACCGCTTTCCAGTGTCCCTAGGTTATCAGTGGTTCTCCAAATGATGTCAGTCCGTGGTGAATACTACCTTAAAACTAAAATTCCCACTAACTTTATTTACAATGGGAAATAAAAGAAGCTAAATAAGTTTTCATTACAAATTCAACTTACTTTGGTGTCAAAACAATACCGGATCAAATATCACCAAGCGACGATAGTATGCTTGAGATTCTGATGAAAGTAACGATAAGCTCTTTCCGAAGGCCTTACAAAAGGAAATGATGAAGAGACAATACAACAAGGTGTATGTATCGCAAAGTTTAACAAAAACCTCAGGAATATTTTAGACTACCGTAAGGAAAAGACAGCCAAAATAAGGTCACTCACAAATAAAATGCAGCCATACGCTAGCTGTGAAAACGAAATAATTACAGGCTGAATATGCTCGAACCAACGACCTATTAGTTCAAAGTAGATTACCTAGAAAAACGAGTCAAAATCCCATCTTGGGTAATGTAAGAGGTATGGCCATGTTATCTGACTGTGCTGAGTGTTAATTGCCTTCATAGGAACACTTTAGCTTGCTTATTTATGGGGATAGTCGTTAGATGGATAGTTATGTTTTGCGGCGCGTCAAATACTGGGCAGGAGTATACATAAGTTGGATGGTATTCACCATCATTCGAATGTTGGAACAGCAAGATATTCATCAATTTCACAGTACAGTGACGCACTGTCTTCTACTATAAAATTAGGAGATCCGATTATCATAGATAAAACATAACAGAGGGCTTGAGTTATTCATCTTGTCACGACTTAGGTTTTCATTTACTTTCAACCAATCACCCAGTAATAATAACAACAGTCTGTCAAACCACAGCTATCTCAGATAGTTTCATCAACAATCAATACAGTGCTTCACCTATCTAATTAGGCTCGATTTGAATCGGGACAAGAGCTGAATAGGAAGCCAGTGTGATTACAATGGACGGACGGATCCATGTATCACCTGGGCGAAACCCTCAGTGACGGAGGTGAATTTAAGAACTGGCCAGCATCTGGTCTCACAGCTATGTTGGCAGAACATCAGATCGGTAACCTGGAGGTCGCTGGTTGGAATCCTCTTGAGAATCAAGTTTCTATTTCACCTTTAATTATCACCCAGTACAATCATAAAAGTAAACTTTGGGTACTGTGGTAGAATGCAATTTTACTTCGTCAAATAAATGTATCACAGCGAAAAGTGGGTATTGTTTATGGCACAACTTACCATCCGTAGTTAAATGATGTAACTCTACAACTTTGAGACATAGTTTATATATTTCTAATCTTTACTTTTTTGTGACATGGGTAGTATAATTTTCAACATATCTAAAACAGATGTTGCATTATTCTTATTTCTTAGATTTGGTGTTGATTCGATAAACAGAGATTCGATTATCAATCCCTCTCTCCATCCAACCGAGGTTGTCTCATCCTTACGTGTGACTGAGTGTAATATGTGTGAGAATAATTGATCTACATTCTCCGACTTTAGTACTCCAAATGAATAACCTGTATACCTTAAACATATCTTTGGTACTGCTACGTGTCTTAAAGGTCTTCAGTTTCCAACTATTTTTAAATGCCTGCTATGGTTATCCCACGGAAGCAAGTGCTGTTCGTTTGTATAGTCTATTTTGAAAAATTGAAAACTGTGAACGTCAAAATTGTACTCACAGCATGAAATCGATCGCAACCTACTTCGAAGTATAGGCTTATTTCCAACCGTGTCCAGTCATGTCAACTGATATATTAGTGCGGAGAATAGTTACATCAAAACGGACATCTTTCGCTATCATCTAATCTATGCTTTCTGTCACAAAAATTAGTAAGTTCCGATTTTCAACGGTTTCTATTTGAACACAATAAGATGGCTAGATTTTCATACAACCAGTGAGTTGAAGAATTTCCAAAATCTAATATGATTTGCAAATCTTAACAGTATTCATCATAAATCCAGATGGGATTATCAGATTTCGGCTTTAAATCGAGTCATTTCAACTCACCTAAAAAGAGCTTCATTTGATACATATATCTCCCATAAACATCTTGGTAACTAGCAGTGGAATCCAGGACTCTCGTTTCTTCTTATTCAGCACTCGTCAGCTGGATGTATCTGCATCACAGTGAGTGATGTTATTCTCACTGCAATCCAGGCACATCCAGCTGACGAGTGCTGAATAAGAAGAAACGAGAGTCCTGGATTTCACTGCTAGTCACCAAGACGAATATAATACAATGAACGTCCGGCAGCAACGAGACGTTTGCATAGGAGCCCATCTGCCAATAAATGTCGAGCAATTCGACTCCATGGCAACGGGAAATTACAAGTATAAAAACAACATTATATCTCTTGTGGATTTCTCAATCTGATATCACACAAGTTTTTAATGATATATCACTTTGATTACATGTTGCTGTTTTCAACTCTTCTCTGATTTTCCAAGAGTAATAAGATTTCTTCGACACTACGGTCTATTTGCCTTTATCTGATCTAGCAATTTTAATACAGTTGTCACTCGGAAGGTTCTTAAAGACTGTTTTTTCTGGTTTCCATGAATTCTATTTCATTTTTACGGTTGTTTTTAGTGTTGGTGAACATTGCTTCAGTACATTATCGGCAATCACCTTTTCCACCAAACTTATCGCTATTTCTATTTTAGGAGAGACATCTTTAGGTTTTAATTTACTTACTACTACATTGAAGTCCAGCTAATTCCTTTACTCCTATTTATTTTACAATTCCAGTTGAGAGATAAACGACTCAATTTATTTTAACGATTATTGAAGGCTTTTATTGAAAGCAGTATGCTTTCTCGACTTGAAAATCCAAGTAGTTTATAAAACAGTAAAAAAGAACTAATCTATGTTATAGAGAATGAAATTTTTTCATTTTATATGCTGTTCAGAATAAAAATTTCAACTTCAAAGCAAGAGACTATAAAATGTAATATACTGCGGAACTCGATCAGTTTAAACCTGACTCCACCAACCAAGGTTTGAGCAGGTAGTCGATATCAAAGCCGTCACATACTCGATATTGCTCATAGCCTACAGTACATATCTGCATGTGGTTGCTAGATTCAAACATACCACAGTTAACAGTATTCTTTACATACGTGAAATAACAATTACCTGGTATACAGAATCATAGTTGTAGGCACTAGGACGTGTAATTGCCATCCAATCGAGATATCTATGTCCACTTCCATTTGCATTAAAAATGAAGTCAGAAAGGCGATGAAACTGATTATGCAATAAGCTTCCCAATAAGCTAACAGCAAAAGGTGATCCATGTGTCATTTGACCTAAGTCAGATAGTGAAAGCTCAGAATCTGGTACAATTTCAGATGATTTACAAGAAGAAATAAACAGCTCCGAGGAATATCCAGTCCACATAGACAAAAGACTGGCAACTTCGTCTTCTGATAAATCTTCGTTTAAATGCAGCTAGAAAAAGGAGATAAGTGGATTTTGATTAACAATGAGTAAAGTAAGCGAAGTACTAACAAACAGAATGAAAAACTTGAGGCAAAGTTACCGTTTCAATAACATTAAGTACGATAGTATGGTTTCGAAAATCTATTAACACTTAAATATAAACCACTAATAAATCTTTTGAAACTAATAAGAGAAACACAGACTGTTCAACAGAAGAAAAACCCATTGGTAATTTGAACCACTTTTGATACTGAAAGATTGGTAAGTGACTATAATGTTCTACACTGATAATGTGAATTTTGTGATCGTTCCACCGTAAAATGGAACACTTATCGACGAGCTTATTGTCGAACAGTAAGGTTCAGTTACCCAGTTAATACGGTTTTTTGAACCAAGAAGCTGAATCGCGGAAAGACGTATTTTAATTCTTTTTTATCCATTACTAATTATTGATATACTTGTTATTCTTTGTTGTTTTATTAGATCGAATTGTTCGACCTCTATTGGCATGTGGGCTCCTATGCGGATGCCTCGATATTGCCCGAATGTTAATTATGATAATTTGCTTCGTCGGACAATTCGATCCAGTAAAGCAACGGAGAATAACAAGTATGTCAATAGATAGTAATAACTACTACCCGTTGTACAAAAAGTGGCTATCGTGCCTCCGTGGTATAGTGGATAACGCCTTGGCGTTTGAAGCGATGAATACGAGGTCCGAGTCTTAGTGGGAACAACATCACTCACTGGGGTGCAGGTACATCCAGCTGACGACTCCCAAATAGGACAAAACGCGCTTCCTAGGTTCTTCTGCTAGCTACAACAAAATAAATTTTTTTTTACTCACTTTCTAAAAAACAACATCACTAAGAAAAGTTGCAATGTACTATTTCTAACGCTGCTGATACACTCTCTTTGCGCAGTTGCTTGACTTTTCGCTGTAGTGTGTGATGATCTAGCTGAGTGATGGTTCGGTATTTTTACTGTATGATCGAATTGATTCGCTTTGTATTCCAATCGATCAACTAAATGAACGGTGTCTTGATTAGAAAATGATAAGGCACCACAGGTAACATTATTGGCGTAGGGTGAAACCAACGTGCATCTCAGCATTGCTACGACCTCTTGACTAAAGCTGGAATCTTGCTCATTGCCATCTTACTGACCACTAACTGGTGCCAAGAGAGACATTAAATCTTGAGATGGTTAATGTGCTTTGGGAATATGATAACACAAACCTGTTTTCCATATTTCCCTGCATTCTTCAAAGCATGGTACAAATCGGTCTGTTGGATATTAATGTATTCAAGTTTGTGAATGCTATATTTTTGGTCACATGTGGATAAACGTAAGAAACCTCACAAAGAGTGTAAAAACGAATCACAAAAGGTAGAAATATGAACAGGGAGAAAATACATTTGGATTAATACAAGATCTGTAGGAAAATATCCAATCCACTGTGACCTATTATGCAACATGGCGCGTAGTTCCCGGCTACTGATATCTGACATCTTGCTAACCCCAGCAATGGTGTTTAACACCTTCGTACACAAAGAAAAAAGAAAATCAACGACTTGATGAATTAGTGCCATGGTTTTACCCATCACCACTAATCTATCTCTGGAGAACTCATTCAGTTAACCTTATTGAGAGTGGTGGATCCATATGTAAATACATCAAAGTTTTTGGCAGTTTTAATAAAAGCATAATCTCCTTCAACCTGGAATCTACTCAATTTATGATCACAGAACAATCACCTTCGGGAATTCAAGATGTGTATATGTGTTTCTTCCAACATAAAATTACTGTTTTGCTGAAGCTGTGGCTTAAACAGCGAAACGTTTAGAAAAATCTTTTGATTTTCTACACAAACGGGGATTATATTAGAATATACCCTTACAGTGATTAAACCAGACTCAGTGCTCAACTGTTCCCGGGACATTCGTGACAACTATGGTCTGGATGTTTTTAATGAAGTTACTGTTGTTGTGAAAGCTTTATTTTCTTCAAAAAGGTCAAGGACTTCTTGATATGACCATAAACAATAAATTATATGCGAAACCCAACCCAGGAAATAATAGTGTTCTACTGTGTAATAAGTGTAATAAACCAATTAAAATGCAATTACATTGTACCACAATGCACAGGTTTTACTTTTATGTTAGAGTCAAGGACTTTCCAAGAACAATGATTTCAAAGGTTGGATGAGTTTAGGAATTCTGGTTATCACGATTAGATTGTTAGCAGCATGTTACAAACAGCAATAAAAAGCTGTCGAGTAGGCAAATTAGTACGCTGGACTTTCAAGTCATTTTCTAAAAAAAGCAAACAGTATGGCGTCACTTCACAACAGTTAAACTGGTTGTTTACCTTTCAGTATTTTAATATATTTGAAAATATTGTGAAGACAATGGTCCACTAAAAATCTTAACACCAACTGTTCGATTTTGAATATACAATCAAAGAATTACTTACTCAGGCATCAAAAAGGCACAGTTACCATAATTATGAACGAAAACGACCAGATTAACATGATGCTCTGAATTTCAAGTAGTCAATTCTTAACTATCATGTTAGAAGCCTTACTTTATCTACTGGGGTTTCCACTCGTTCCAAAACATCTGAATCTCGAGAAGTAACTAAAAAGGCGCCAGGTAAATCAGAAAGCACTCGTCCAACTTCAACATCCCACACATCATCTAGAATAATCAGCAACAAGGAGGTAATTAGACTTCCGCCTTCATCAGGACCCCAAGACACACGTTGCTGTCTACGAATAAGAGCTCTTCGGAGTCTTTCTAGACTTTCATTTAATGGTGATGAAGAAGAGAGCGGGAATTGATGAGATCCAGTTGGATGCTGGTTCGCACTTTTATCATGAGTATGATCACCAAGCTTATTTACTCTATATTCTAATCGATTAACTAACTGAATGATATTCTGATTCAAAATTGACGAGGTAGAACAGTTTGAATTATTAGCGTAGAGCGGACCAACTTGCATCCAAACAATACCTGAAGACAAATATTTGTTAAACGAATATTTTTATCAGTAATATGATATAAGAAGCAAAATGTAATAATAAAAGCATTTATTCACAAGGTTTTTTAATGCTACCACGACACGAGATCGAAATATAACTGTTTTCGTTTCCACAATATCTCATTCCATTCGCTACAAATAACGAAAAGCAAATATTAGAATCAGCTTCAATTCGTTGAAATAAGATTGCTTTGTCGACCAAAATTAAACGGGATTGAAGTTGCAGTTTATTAATCACAATTCAATGCAGAAAATCCCAGCTAAATAGGTTTGTTGAATTAGGTATTAACATCTCAAACCAAAATAGAAAAATCAGTATGATAATAAACTGAAGCTTCCAAAACCATAGTGAATAAATATTGTAAGAAAAAAGGGAACTTAAGATCACAACGCCCAGCTAGAATAGTCAACAGGTTTTATGGTTCAATAGTTGGCCAGTGATTAGTCCGGGACTACCCGACCGATAGCTGCTACCTTGACGTGGTGGTCGGGCTTGCATATCACAATGACCCAACGAGCTATGCTGGTGGAACGCTTGTTCCCTCGAGGTCCTACCATACCAGAAAGGTCTGTTGGGTAGTGGTTAGACGAAAAGCAGTTACCGTCATAGTGTAAATTGCTATACTATGATGGGGGTCTGAGGGCGAAGTCGTACTGCTGCTAGCTGGATGGGGTGTGACAGCAGTAAGGTGTTTCCCTTGGATGACCAGCAGTGCCAAGCTGATGCTGCCTTCTCAGTGGAAGGGGGGGTTAGAAAAGGTCGGCCCCAAAAATAACACACTCCACCACGCCCCACGGTCTGCCGGGCCGGCGGTGTTGGTTCACTTGTCGTTTCCTTTCGCTCATCCGGCCCCAAAAATACAAAAATTCAAAATAATCATACTCAAAAGGCTGGGTGTGACAGGCCTCAAGCAGATGTCCGATGGGCTCTGCGGTCACACAAATCTCTTTCAGGTACCTTAAGAAGAAATAGCCTTCCACGGTGTGGGCAGCCGGGAAGTGTCAACCGCCCTCACAACTCTGTCAGCACCCAAGTTTCTTCTGACTGCTATCCTCCTCCTCCATCATTACCTTCTAATCTTCCTTCACGTCTCTTAATTAATGATGCTGCATCATCTTCAATTTCTCCTACCTCTGCAGCCTTCGACAACGATCTGAGTCCACAGAACAGCGTCCCTGGTCTCCTTAAACCACGCTCCAAATTACATATTGGAGCCTTCAATGTCCGCACCCTCCGTCAAATTGGCCAACAGGCTTCGTTGGCAAAGACTCTAGCAACTCGAGGCATGGATGTGTGCTGTGTTTGTGAGACACGCATACAGGACCCAAGTGTGGTTATTCACCTGACCTCTCCTGACCAATCTGGTGAATCTGCAAAATTCACCCTTCGAGTTTCTGGAGATTCGATAGCTAGCTCTCGTGGTCTTGCAGGTGTAGGTATAGCATTAAGCACCAGGGCAGAAAACTCACTACTAGACTGGATCCCAGTTGATAGTCGCCTCTGCGCTATGAGGCTGAACGGCACAGTGAGAACTAAAAGGAATAGTGAGACTCGCCGTTGTCTCTTTGTAATCTCTGCTTACGCACCCACTGACTGTAGTTCGGATGAAGTGAAGGACGAGTTCTACCATAAACTGTCTAACCTCCTCTCGAAAGCCAAACGTTCGGACGTAGTGGTTGTTGCAGGTGACCTCAACGCACAGGTGGGTAGACTGAGTGAGGCAGAAAGGCACTTAGGTGGCACTTTCGGAATCCCAGCTGAACGTACAGATAACGGTGATCGCCTATTACAACTATGCTCAGATAACCGCCTATTTTTAGCCAGCACAAATTTCAGACATAAAGAAAGGCACTGTCTGACCTGGCGTCCACCGAGCTCGACTCAGCGATGGACACAGATAGACCACATTGCTATTAGTCATCGCTGGAGAGGATCGGTGGAAGACTGCCGCTCCTTCTGGAGTACGTGTTTGGACAGCGATCATGCGTTGGTCCGAGCACGTATATGCCTGCGTCTCAATGGACGTAGAAAAAATTTGGCAACAAAACCACTACGAGTTCTGCTGGACAACGAAAACACCAAAGCCGTGTTCAGTGAGAAGTTGGCTAGGCAGTTATCGGAACAAAAGACTGTCACTCATCCAGAAGAAGCTTGGTGCCATCTTCAGTCTACTGTAAAAGCAGCACTGGAGACTGTAGCCGACTCCAAGATAATGGCTAAAAAGAGCCAGTGGATATCAGCAGCTTCTTCCAAACTAATGGATGCACGTGAATGCATCCCTGCAGGCTCTGAGTACAATGAAGAGCGAGCGCAACTTAAAAATAAACTGACGAAAAGTCTGCGCAACGATCGTGAACAGTGGTGGGCAGCAAAGGCTAAAGAGATGGAAAAGGCAGCGGCGATCGGTAACAGTAGACAGTTATTTAGACTTATTAAGGAGACTGGGGGGAAATGGTCAACAACAGTTAGTGAGGTTATAGCGGAGAAGGACGGATCGGCGATTCACTCGCAGGGAAGGCGACTGGGACGATGGGCAGAACACTTTGAGGAACAGTTTAACTGGCCTCCAGCCACCATTGCGCTGCCCGCTATCCAGTCGGACCCTGAATGGGACATAGAGACAGGTCCCCCAACACTAGAAGTTGAGAAAGCGGTAGGTAGCCTGAAACGGGGAAGGGCAGCAGGACCAGACGGACTACCTGCTGAGGTATACAAGAATGGTGGTAGAGTTCTCTTAGTCAGGCTAACGGAAGTGTTAGCCAGTATATGGGAATCAAATACGATCCCCTCCGACTGGTCTAAGTCACTGATCATCCCAGTCTTCAAGAAAGGCGAGAAGTCCTCTTGTGATAACCACAGAGGAATCAGCCTGACAAACATAGTGTCTAAGATCCTAAGTTCTATAATTCTCCGACGCCTGAGTGGAGCTCGGGAACAGCAAGCCCGAGAAAACCAGGCAGGCTTTAGACCTGGCCGTGGATGTATCGACCAAATATTCACACTGCGCCAGGTCCTGGAACATAGGCATGCTTACAGACGCCCGACAATAGCTGTATTTCTCGACCTGAAGGCGGCATTTGACTCCGTTGATCGAGAAGTCTTATGGCAGTGTCTGTCACTGAAAGGCGTGCCTAGTAAGTACATCACCTTATTGAAAGCTCTCTACTCGAACACTTGTGGGCATGTTAGAGCCTATGGTGAGTTGTCCAGGGAGCTATACTCATCAAGTGGTGTCCGTCAAGGATGCCCACTATCCCCATTCTTATTTAATTTTATCATAGATATTCTTATGGAGGTTTCCCTCTCGTCACCTAATTACAAAGACGTTGACCGGACACAGGTGAATTTTCCTTAGATCTAGAATATGCAGATGACATAGTCCTGTTAGGTGAAGACGCTGACAAGATGCAGAGTCTTCTGAACACTTTGAGTGGGAATTTGAGAATGTTTGGGATGCGATTTTCACCACCCAAATGCAAATTTTTGCTCCAGGACTGGTCTTCAGCGGTACCGCGGTTAACAATAGAGAGTGAAGTGGTTGAGTGTGTTGACCACTTCACTTACCTGGGAAGTAGGATCAACTCCGGTGGGTTAGTTGCCGATGAGATTTCTGCACGGATACAAAAGGCTCGATTGGCTTTTGCCAATTTGCGCCACCTATGGCGCCGCCGTGATATTCGTTTGTCTATTAAGGGTCGCGTGTACTGCACAGCAGTCCGCTCTGTTCTACTGTATGGCTGTGAAACATGGCCATTGAAAGTGGAAGACATGAGAAGGTTACAGGTATTTGACCACCGTTGCCTTCGTAGTATAGGACGTATTCCGTGGTGTCACCATGTGAGTAATGCAGAAGTTAGGTGTAGAGTTTTAGGGAGAAGAGGTAAGTCAGTCGACGAGGTTGTGAACCTTCATCGACTGAGATGGTTGGGACACGTACTACGTATGCCTAGTCACCGATTGCCTCGTCACACAATGTTGGCTGAGGTGGGTTCAGGCTGGAAAAAGGCCCGAGGTGGCCAGACTAAAACATGGCACCAATGTATGAAGTCTCTGACTGTTGGTTTAAGCCATGTAGGACGATGCAGACTAGGTGGTTGGGGTCCACGGGACAAGAGGAACCAGTGGTTGGAGACCCTAGGTGATATGGCTCAGAACCGAAGTCAGTGGCGCAGATGTATACACACATTATCCTCATCTTAACAACGCTATACCGAATCTCACTATTTTGTCACTCCTCTTTCCTTTCTTCTCGTACTTTATATTTCTTTTGACTGCATTCACTTATCTTCATCCTTCACCTCACTACCTTTTTACTTGATGTGCTGATATGAGGTGTGGCAACTCGGACCGTTACGCAGTAATGCCTGGTCCTATGTTGATAATGATGATGATGATGAGTCCAGGACTAAAGGATAGCCTGCATAATCTTAGCTCTTCCTCTTGCATTTTAACGGTTCATGTGGAACAAGTTACATAGGGCGTAGGATTAAACAGGTGCATCTCCGGATATAACATTTACTGGCTTGTTTTGGAAAAGGTGAAGAAAAAGTGGTGAAAAGTCCTGTCCTAGCGCACCTAATAAACACAGAACATCACATAGATGCTGATAAGGCCTTCGATGTAATACATCGTGTGCCGAAAACGATAACATGTGTGGCTCGCCAACGTCTGCTCAACATAGCCGAGGCTGTCGTAACAAAAGTGATCAAGCCTAGATTTTGTATTCCGAAGGAACACGTCCAAACATTATTCCTCCTTTGGTCTTCAGTAAATTGAAGGCCACTTCTGTCTTCCCTACTTGCTGTCTTTTCGTTTACCATCACATTCACCATCTGTGCATATGTCATCTTAATATTGACAAATTTAAAAAGACAAATCGATTCCCTTACAGTCTCTATATCTCACATTTCGAAAATGTATTTGCCCCCAAACTGGCCTGTTTTTTACGCTGCACAGATGCATTTTATAATTGTAGAACCTGATAGGAATTCGCTGAGAAGAATATTCTTCGTTAAGACTGTTTTTTTATCAACGTAAGATCATTTACAAATTTTCTCACCGATGAGATTGTACCTACTCAACTTTTCGATACTAGTTCCCTTGAAAATTTCAGAATGTTACTGAATTCCTGGATTTTCATCACTATACTTCTGAAAATGTTCTTGTTCAGTGTAGACAGGTTACTTCGTTTGTCAAGTGTGCACCAAAGGAGGAAAAATTATATTTCAAAGAATGCACAATGTCAACTGGGTACAGTTCTTGAAAGGATTCCTTCATTTTGCCTCAAGTTTCATTTTGGTGTATTTACCTGGTGGAGTCTCTATGCGAAGGACTGATCGATTCGGCCCAGTATAGTGATCAACATTAAATTATATGCATCTATCAATTACAAATGATACGCGCCCCACAGAAGGTGGCTTCCGTGATTTAGAAGCCTAATGGATAACACTGGTGTTCAAAGCGGTGGGTGCTGGATCCGAGTCCCAGTGGGGATACTATCACTCACAAGGATACAGGTACATCCAACTGATAGGTTTCGAATATGACGAAAATAAATGCTGGGGCTTCACTACTCGCTACCACCAAGAAAAGTTACCAAATTTAGCTGTTTTCACAATATTTTCATACTATTATGTATGAAACATTTCTCAGTAACCAAGGTGTATAGTTTTGGATAGTTCATATAACTGTATTTTTCATGCAATATAGAATGCTAGACAGAATTCAGATAGTTTGAACGATTTAGAAGCGAAATGAATTCGTTCGCGTATTTTGCTGATGAATCCGACCCGGAACGAGTGAAATAAACGCTCGATATTCAAATCATTTTGACCTGACTAGAGAAACCTTCAAACCAGAGTGGTTTCTAACCATTAACGTTATTTAGTAGTACATTTGATTAGTATAGAATGTACTTAATAGAATCCATAATAGAATTATTAATTGTCACCTTGAATACACTTTAGTTTCCTCTCATCTTACTCTCTTTTCAAAATGCGCTAGAGTAACATATGACTGAGTGTACTTAAACTGCCAAAGTACTTCACTTATCGAATAACAACTGCTTCTCGGTTTTAAAATCATCTTTTATGAATCGAATGTCAAACATATTTTGTTAAGAAAATAGCTAGCTACTTCATTTGTATTTGATACCTATCCGACTGAATGGCACAGTGAGAACTAAAAGCAATAGGGAGACTCGTCGTTGTCTCTTTGTAATCTCTGCTTACGCACTCACTGACTGCAGCTCGATTGAAGTGAAGGACGATTTCTATCGAAAACTGTCTAGCCTCCTCTTGAAAGCCAAACGTTCAGACGTGGTGGTTGTTGCAGGTGACATCAATGCACAGGTGGGTAGACTGAGTGGGGCAGAAAGGCACTTAGGTGGTACTTTTGGAATCCCGGCTAGACGAACAGATAACAGTGATCGCCTACTACAACTGTGCTCAGATAACCTCCCATTTTTAGCCAGCACAAATTCCAAACATAAGAAAAGACACTGTCTGACGTGGCGTCCACCAAGTTCAACTCAGTGATGGATACAGACAGATCACATTGCTATTAGTCATCGCTGGAGAGCATCGGTGGGAGACTGCCGCTCCTTCTGGAGTACGTGTTTGGATAGCGACCACGTGTTGGTCCGAGCGCGTATATGTCTGCGCCTCAATGAACGTAAGGAACATTTGGCAACAAAACCACCACGAGTACTGCTGGACAACGAAAACAGTGAGAAGTTGGTTAGACATTTATCAGAACAGAAGACTATAGCTCATCCAGAAGAAGCTTGGTGCCATCTCCAGTCTGCTGTAAGAGCAACGCTGAAGATAGTAGCCGACTCCAAAATAGTGGCTAAAAAGAGCCAGTGGATATCAGCAGCTTCTTCCAAACTAATAAATGCACGTGAACGCATTCCTACCTGCAAGCTCTGAGTACAATGAAGAGCAAGCACAACTTAAAAGTAGACTGAGAAAAAGTCTACGCAATGACCACGCACAGTGGTGGGCAGCAAAGGCTAAAGAGATGGAAAAGGCAGCGGCGATCGGTAACAGTAGACAGTTATTTAGACTTATTAAGGAGACTGGGCGGAAAACGTCAACAACGGTTAGTGAGACTATAGCGGAGAAGGATAGATCTGCGATTCACTCGCAGGAGAGACGACTGTAACGATGGGCAGAACACTTCGACGAGCAGTTCAACTGGCCTCCAGCCACCATTGCGTTGCCCACTATCCAGTCGGATCCTGAATGGGACATAGAGATAGGCCCCCCAACACTAGGAGAAGTTGAGAAAGCGGTAGGTAACCTGAAACAAGGAAGGACCAGACGGACTACCTGCTGAGGTACACAAGGAAGGTGGTAGAGTTCTCTTAGTCAGGTTAACGGAAGTGTTAGCTAGCATATAAGAATCAAATACGATCCCCTCTGACTGGTCTAAATCACTGATTATCCCAGTCTTCAAGAAAGGCAAGAAGTCCTCTTGTGATAACCATAGAGGAATCAGCCTGACGAATCTAGTGTCTAAGATTCTAGGTCCTATAGTTCTTCGACACCTGGTTGGAGCTCCGGAACAGCAAGCTCGAGAAAACCAAGCAGGCTTTAGACCTGACCGTGGATGTATCGACAAGATATTCACACTGCGCCAGATCCTGTAATATAGGCACGCTTACAGACGACCGACACTCGCTGTATCTCTCGACCTGAAGGCGACATTCGACTCACTCTATTGAGAAGTCTCATCGCAGTGTCTCTCACTGAAAGGCGTGCCGAGTAAGTGCATCACTTTATTGAAGGCTCTCTACTCGAACACTTACGGATGTGTTAGAGCCTATGGTGAGCTGTACTCATCGAGTGGTATCCGTCAAGGGTGCCCACTCTCTCCATTCTTATTCAATTCCATCATAGATATTCTTATGGAGGTCTCCCTCTCGTCACCAGGTTACACAGACGTTGACTTAATCGGTGGCGAATTTCCGTTAGACCTAGTATATGCAGATGACATTGTCCTGTTAGGTGAAGACGCTGACAAGATGCAGTCTTCTGAACACTTCGAGTGGGAATTTGAGGATGTTTGGCATGCGTTTCTCACCACCCAAATGCAAATTGCTGCTCCAGAATTGGTCTTCAACGATGCCCCGCCGTGGCTAACAATAGAGAGTGAGTGTAGTGATTGAGTGTGTTGACCACTTCACTTACCTGAGAAGTAGGATCAGCCCTGGTGGGTCAGTTGCCGATGAAATCTCTGCACGGATATAAAAGGCTCAAATGGCTTTTGCCAATTTACGCCACCTATGGCACCACCGTCATATCCGACTGTCTACTAAGGGTCGCGTGTACTGCACAGCAGTCCGCTCTGTTCTACTGTATGGCTGTGAAACATGGCCATTGAAGGTGGAAGACATGAGAAGGCTTCAAGTGTTTGACCACCGTTACCTTCGTAGTATAGTCCGTACTCCGTGGTGTCACCACGTGAGTAACAGAAGTCAGGTGTAGAGAGAGGTAAGTCAGTTGGCACGGTTATGAAACTTCATCGACTGAGATGGTTGGGACATATGTCACGTATGACAAGTCATCGTCACACAATGTTGGCCGAAGTAGGTCCAGGCTGGAAAAAGGCCCAAGGTGACCAGACTAAAACGTGGCACCAATGCATGAAGTCTCTGACTGTTGGTTTGAGCCATATGGGGCGATACAGACTAGTCGGTTGGGGTCCGCGAGACAAGAGGAACTAGTGGTTGGAGACTGTAGGTGATATGGCTCAGAACCGAAGTCAGTGGCGCAGATGTATACACACAATATCCTCATCTTAACGATGCTATACCGAATCTCACTATTTTCTCATTCTTCGTTACTCTCTTTTCGTACTTTACATTTCTTTTGACTGAATCTTCAACTTTCACCCCACTACCTTTCTACTTGATGTACTGATATGAGCTGTGGCAACTCAGACCGTTACGCAGTAATGCCTGGTCCTATGTTGATACTGATGATGATGTACCTAGTTAAAAGGAATTTTTGTAATCGGTTTGAAAACAGATAGATAAGAATCGGAAATTAGTTATAATTGCACAAAACATCAATCTGCCCCCGAAAAGTTAATATATGTTTAATATTTCCAAATTAATTTGACCAACACTACTTAAGAAAGTATGATTTAAGATCAAATTAGTTTAAAAGCTTTGATTTCATACTTACTTCGCCTTTGAATGCTGTTGCTGACAACCATTGATCGCAGACTGGTTCACTTACGCAACATGGTGACTGAGAAAGCGTGAAGTTTCTCTACTACTTATCGTTTAGTCCTCAATATGTCATCCAGTTACGCACATTTTGACTGCATAGCACAATCCAATACATGAATAATAATAATAGCTAAAGACCGCGTTATTATGAAGCCGTTTTCCTATAACTAACGTTGTGAAATAATATCAATCGACATTCTGAATGACATCCTTTCACACTAAGCCTGGTTAGACTGTAAGACAAAGGAACAAAACTTCACAAAATCTATAGCACAAACTAATTGAATTAGAACTTGAAATTTTTAAAAACACTTAATGTAAGACAACCAACCATCCAAAGACTGAACATACCTCCAGGAAAGCAGTCCACAAGAAGAGCTGACTCTTGACGTAGAACGCTAGCCGACAGAACTGACTTCCCTGATCCAGGTGATCCATGAATAAGCAACCAGGCATTTGTAGGAGGTGGGTTGATATCACCTACACTTTTTGAATAGTCTTTAAATTGCGGTCTAATATCCATTTCAGCTAACTTAGTTATTGGCACTTTATCTACCCTGAAATGGTCTGCTAACGCTCGTAGTTTGTTGGATAGGACATTCACTAGATCCGGACGATTTATGTAGCGGGTAGGTTTGTCCGGAACTGCTCCTTCAAGTAACAGTTCTCTTAAATCTGATAAACTATGTTGTTTTTTTCTACAAGTGGGAAATTAAATCAAGAAAATGAGTTGGCCCAAATCGTTTGAGAACTGAAATACGCCAGTAGTTAGGTAAAATCAGTGAATAAAAACAATGGGATTTCGCTGTTCATGGTGCACACAAAATAGAAAACGTTTACAAGCGATATTTACATAATAATGATAGTCGTTATCAATTGATATACCTCCTAAATATCTGTAAGCAATCAGAGGAGATAAGGTAAACCGAAATCGCCGTTTTATCAAACATGGGGTAAGAAATATATGGTCTGTACACTGCAATGGGCCGGTTAAAGGCACTGTAAAGGTTGCAATGTGAAGTTTAATAATGATTTTTCGCGCTAAAAAGAGCGATTGTGAATTGCAAGTAGACTGGTCAACTACCGTGTGATTGCTAACAAGCGCAGTGTCCAAGTCCATCACTGTAAACAGAAGTGACTATGTCGTCTCACTGACAAAACAGCCGGAATACCGAGGTAAGTCAGCTATATAAGCTATCCATCCTCAAGTGTAGTTCACTTGATCCAATAATTCCCCTTTATCCAGTCCCCAGGGTTCTAAATGCGTTAATAATATGAACGACGTCTACAGAATCTAATTTTTTAGTCGTCTATAATGACACTGTTGCTGACTAGTGGTGGTTGACGCATATATACTTTAAAACAGTAGTTAACCATAGTCTCCTATGTTTCCTATTGTCTCCAACTAGTTCAGAATTTCGCAGATCACTGAGAAATGGTATGGTATCGTATGTTTCGATTTTATAATTTATATGCAAGTACGTCTATGGTATTCTATGGTAACCCATACAAAGTTGACCTCGTACATTATTTGGAGCACATGGATTTCTTCAGTATATGTATGCTCAGTAGTATTTTGAAGATTTCCACCTCGAGAATAGCAAGAATGTCAACAATATACTCTTAAGTAGTAGTGAGCTATGTATCTAATGGGCTGTTCAAAAAAGAAAGCATTCAATTCTTTTGTGACCACTCGATGTAATAAACGGATAAATGACCCAGGATGTTTGAAGAAACACTACATCTCTTCACCCTACACTTCTGTAAAGAATTTCCACTTTTCCCAAGCAACTTTAGGGTTAATCATTGTAATGTCCAAATTGCATTTATTATATTAGGCATCTGCAATGCTTAGCATGATAATATTATGATCACTTCTATCAACGAGTTTAGGGAATAGTGTGAAACCTGTGATCCTTTTATAAGGTCGACCCTAAAGTCTGGAAGGCCTGCTGCCATTCACATAGAGTAGTCTCAACACACGTTCTGCAAAAGATATGGAAGTGGTACACTATAACGCAGTAGCGTGTGCTTCTTTTACAAGGTCTCTCTAGTATATTAATAATACATTAAAGACCCTTGCCACTGGATATATTTACCTATTCGTTCAGAGGGTTCCCATATTGAGAAGGAAGTCATCAACTTTGCATTCGTGAATACAGCATATAACCAAAAGATTTATGCTGTTGTTTTCGGTATTTTAGTTGATAACTGAGTAAACCAAACAATTTTGTTTTTATACGCGATTGGTCCTGTAGCTGCGTGAATGAAATTTTATTCCCATAAAAAGTGACAAAAACCGCCTCTCTGAATTAGTCTACATGATAGGTAAGTGAACACGTGGTGCACCTTTTTGACACCGAGTCACAATTTAATTTTGAATTATTGATGCATTAGTGAAATAATTGATTAGACCTTCAACTAATGCCTAAAGTTATTCAAGGATTTTTCTATGAGGTAAGTGCACTTGTAAGGTCAATCAGCATAAGCACTTTTTCCCAGCTGATCGATATATTCATAAGCTTAAAGTTTGTAGTTTAGCCGTATGCAACCAGATGAATTCATATACTTCTCAAAAATAATCCCCTGGATTTTACTGCCAAACATATCGAGCACTTCTAAATAACTATGTAGTAAAGAATTTTGTTTTCCAGTAGGTGAGGTGCTAACGAGGGTAGTGATGGCGCACACCGTATTTGGAAAAGTTGGGGAAGTGCCATATCTAATAACACAACAAGGTTCTCACAAGCTTATACAGCTCTATTTCACTTAAACTAATCTCAAAGTAGGGATCATTTTTCTGAGACGATGATAAACTTAAGGTTTACTGTGTCAACAACATCACTAGGCTTGAGTCATCTGAGAAGCATCCAACTCACTGTTTTTCAAACTACAGCTAAACTCATCACCAAACATTTTCGCATCTGGTCACGGCTGCGAATATTAGGGAGAGAAGTGAAAATGTGTTGCATGACATTTGTAAAGGTTATCAGCTGCTAGCAAGACACTAAGTTATCGGTGATTTTGAAAACTTGATGTTCTTCAAAGCAGCTGGAAAATTTTAGCAGCTTCATAACTCATGCTTCTGCTTCTTACTTGCTTCATGATACACCTTTATTCCTATAGTACGCATAATAACAATAGTAAGGCAATTTTTCTAGGCTTGAGAACAATGAAATCAGTGCATTTCAGATATGGACCCAAGATGTTAGTCCCAGCTCGGCAGTCTTTCAACTGCCTATCAACAACTGAGTCAACCGGGATACATCCCTACCGTATTTCGATTTGTGATGAGTCAATATTACATGCTGTGAGCTGAAGATCTCACATTGTTTATGTTCACATAATACATTAAATACCAAGAAGACCTGGTAACTATTTTCTTTAGTACTGCTACAAAAATACTGAATAATGTTCATGAACAATCTGTTGTGAATGATTTACAGCTGCAAAACGTTTTGTGGGCTCTAGCAATCTGAGCGAATAGTCACTTCCTACGAAATTCCTCCACACCTTGTACATTTTTATGCTTCTATATGGCCCAACTTATGGCTATTACGTTTTTTTCTCACACTACACATGACTTTAGTAACTGCGGTGATAGCATCGTCTCTCGCAGGCAATCAGAATGGCCAAAAACCGAGTTTAACGTTCTTTTCAACTCCATACTTTTAATGTCCAGTATAAAGACTCATATCACTCATTTGTGATCGCAAGGTGATGTACACTACCGTCTATATTGATTATCTTATGACAAAAAAATGAAGTCTGCCTCAAAACAGCTATGGTCTTACCTTGGTGCAGAGGGAAGCCGTAAGACAAGCGAAATGGCCTTTTCTGATCTGCGTGAGACAGAACACAGTATGTGCTCACCGACGTCATACTTTTAAGTAGCTAAGACGAAGACATCCGAAAACTTCGGAAAGTGGCGGATATGACACAGGGTCACAATACCAACTTTAGTTTTTCGACTACCACTTGGATGAAGGTCCACCCGCTTCGCTTCGGGTTCTCAGGCGGTAAACTGTTCCCTCTGCAAAGCTGACAACAAACGACGTATTCATACCTGAAGCAAATATTTTAACCTTCTCTGAACCCAAAACAGAAGATACCATAGTCATACCTCGGTAGACCCAATTTCTAGCAGAACACGAACTAATAGTCTACAATGATTTCTCAAGTACGATTTATTTCTCTCCCAACAGTATAATGAATTACAGCATTATTCGACTGATATCAATCATAAATTAATGTTTTCTGACTCCTACAAACATCCTTCCAATACCTTCACAAACTGTGCAAACTAAAGTGCCCTTTGCCACGCAAAGCATCCAGTGATTCCATTAGTGGAGCAATGTTATGAGACAGATAGAGGTTAAGTACATTAACAGGACCACGGTTTGTATGCGTGCTCTGAAGTAAATCTATTGATCAAACTGGAGGAGATAGGTGGTCAATGACTTCACTAGGAAAACATTAACCTAATTCTCTGAGATACGGTTTTTATCAGCATCAGCCCTGTTGACTCACCACCAATTTTCAAACTAGTGAAACTGACAATAGAGTATTCAGACCAATTAAGTGAAGTATGCTTGAACGCCGCATTTTTTGTACCTGATTCGGCAGAAATATTCAACTGGAAAATGCATGTAACAGTATGCAGTTGACAACAGATAGACAAACGTCAATCTAACTTTCGTGGATTCCGTCTCCACACTCATTTTTGCCAGCCGAAGTTTCCGTGACAACTTCTAGCCAATTCATAATTCAGTTACTTTCATGTATCGTTAAAATAGGAGTATATATGCAGATGTACTGGTTCGTCACCTTTTAGCTATGAAATATGCATCAATTCTCAACTTAGTCTTGAAGACTGATCAATTAAGACCTGAATTATAGTCTCAAATTTATCTGTCTTTGTAAAGCAATTTGAAGATATTATTGCCATTGTCCCATTTTTGAGGCTAAACGTTAGGCTGGCGTTTGGTTGCTTTTGCTGAGGAATGAAAATAATGGTCATCCTTAGATAAATACACTTGAAGAAACAGGTCAGTATGTTCAGAAAGTTAGGTATCTCATACCAGACCCTCACTTGAATACGAAATATTGTTGGTATGTGATTAAATTATCGTGATGGATATTTACTACATGAAAAAGAGTAGAACGTGAAAGGATTTGTGGAGAACGACGTCGGCAGTCTCTATGGGTACAAACGCAGGATTTAACTGCTAGTTGGATAGCTAAGAACAGGTCCGGTTATCTGCTAAGCCTACCGCTCAGACTGCTTCGGGTTTATGAATGTACAAGTGAATTCCGCCTACATTCAGAGTATCCTTCCTGTTTTTTCTTACTGCAAACATCCCAATGAATGATTCACCAAGATCTCTGGAGTAAAACATCCTTGAGTAACAGATAGACATTAACTGCCTCACATCTAGGAAACTGTCGTTTAACAGAACAGTAGGTGAAGTCATGAAGTACTTAAAGTATGCAATTGGTCGGTTAAATTACTGCTTTTTTGCATCACTAACTACATCCCGTTTCACTCCCGCATGAACACAAACGGCGAAGTTAGTTCACATCTTTTGACTATGACTCATGACCAATAGCTGCTACCTTGACGTGGTGGTTGTGCTCGCATACCATAATGCCCCAAAGAGCTATGCTGGTGGAACACCTGTTTCCTTGAGGTCCTACCATACTATGGCCAGAGATGGCCAGACTATGAATACATCTTACATATGCTTCTTTCAGGTGCTTTCAGTACCGTCATGTTTTAACTCAAAGCCATCATTCATAACTTACTATCATAAGCTCCAGACAGAAGTTATCATCCCTACAGGGATTAGAATCCAACACAACTTGCACAAACTAAGCATGTGGATTACTCGGGTTGCGTCATTTGACATTCAAGACGGTCTTGAACTGTTGCAGCTGCACACTAATTTTATGCAGTAACCCAAACTACCCTGCAATACCATTTTTATCTATCAAGGTAAACAAAATTCCGGGTGATTACTTCTGAACGAAACTGTGAAGGTGAGGTAACTGCCTTCTCACTGATGATTCCCAGTTTAGCCGTGTTCTTCAATCATTTACAGACTAAACAATATTGGGCCCTTAACAGACTTGTTAATCAGGTTATCTAATATTCACTTAGTAACTAAAAGGGTATTTTTACTGCAAAGTGATTCACAACGAAATCATTCTTCATTCCAATTATAATTCATCAAAAACTGCTGTGGACAAAGAAATGTGGCGTTACTAAGAGTGAGATGGTGAAGTTACTAACCGCATCTATGCATCAAAAATGCAAACTTACTGACATGGAGAAGGAGCAATATGCTTTCTTATCTCTGGTGCCAGAAATGAGCCTTCAGAATCCAAGGACATCAAGAAATCATCAAATGCACCTGTTGGACGCAAGCGAATTAGATCAAGAATCTTTCTAGATTTGTTCTGAGCTGTCTTCTCAAGCCTCACAAGCTCTACTTCATGGTGGGACACCCAGCCCTTCGAATAAAGATAATCTAAGGTAGCATCAGGATCGAGAGACTGAGTGATCATAGGGCCACAAACACGTAAGGCATGCGCCTTGTCCGGATCCATGTATGATCTAACTACTTCTTCTGCTTGCTCATACACTCTCTGAAAACTTTTACAAAGTTTTGACACTGTCTCCAATCTTTTTTCTCACTCATGCATTCGGAAATATCATAATGCTCATTCAGGCATCCAGTACGAGCAATCAAAGACACAATGGGATCCTCATCATCGATGTCAGAAATCTTATCAGTGTCTTTATTTCTAGCAGTGGAATAGTTATGATGACTCATAAACACAACTATTGAACAAACGCTCAGTATACCAGCCCAGAGGTCCAATATCCAATATCTTTTCACGAGCTAGTGTAAACCAACTGATTTCTTCGCGCTCGCTTCTAGGTATTGAGGAAAGTTTCCAGGTCTTTGGTGGATTCCGATGCAGTAGGTCTACCCACTCGAATGCTGTAGCTGTGATTAGCCCGAAGGCAATGGGGGTTGGTGAAATTTATGGGGAGTATGTGTTGTGTTTTTTCCAAGGACTGTGGTTTAGATGGGTTCCTCAAGTGTCGTACCAGCAGACAATTGGTTGGACTAGTTTTAAAAAGGAGATGGAAAACATGTCCAGAGAAGTCAAGGGGGAGAAAGTGTGAAGGAAAATAAACAACAGAAAGAAACATGATTAGGAATAAGGAAACGGTACGGAAGAAACATCTGTAGATTCATAGGAGAGGGGTGATGGGGAGAGCTTTTATTAAATTGTTTGAACGTAAAGTCAGTAGGAAGAGAAGAAGAAAATAACATTATAGGACGGCTTATGGGAGAGAGTAACTGGAGAAGTATAAGGTTGAGCCAAGCTCGTGATAATAATGGCGTTACAAGGTATTCGATAATGGGTTGGCCGTACTCAGTTGGTAGGCCGTACCAGCCTAGCCCATATCCCGGTTGGATGAGCGCAAACCACGCGTTGCTGCGTAACTGTTCAGCCTCATCTTGAAGCTGTCAACAAATGGAACAGTAGCAGTCTCAGCAGGCAAGGCTTTCCAGTGGTCGTCAACCCACAGTGAGAAGTGTGAACGCAAGCAGGAATTCGCCCTTTGGTGGGCGATTCTCCTTGGGTTACCACGAGGATCGCCATAGTGGCCTTTCGATACGATTCCACTGTTAGGATGACTTCGGTCACCTAGTATTTTGTAAGCCGTTATCAGGTCACCACGTAATCTACAGTAGCTAAGATACTAGAGTCATAAGTCCTTCGGCCTGTCCTCATTGGGTTTTCGCCTAATTCCCAAGACACCCTTTGTAGCTCTTCGGCTAACTTTCTTTAAGGGGTTCACATCTCTTCTCAGATATGGTGGTGAAATGGCGTTGTGGACCTCGAAGAGAAGTCGTGTGCGGGTCTTGTACAGCTTAAGGGAGAGTTTCGGAGTGAGGGCACCTAGTTGTCTACACACTAAGTGTAGTGCTGCGTAGGCTCTGGAGGTGTCTCCTGGATAATTGGAGCTAGTATCTAACTTGTCAGTTAGTATCAGTCCTAGGTCTTTCTCCGTGGTGGCGTGGGAAAGCTGTGTTCCACAGAGAATAGGGTACCTTTTGAGAGTCTGGGATGTGGAGAAATATGGTTCGACACTTATCCAGATTAATTGCTGGCCCACTAATATCCACACACTCTGCCAGTAATCTGAGATCACTTTGCAGTGCGCTTTATTAACCTTCGGACGTCACAACTCTCCACAACTTAGCGTCGTCAACGTAAAGTAGAATTGGGGGGCTGAGACTGAATGAAAGGTCATTCGCAAAAAGTTGGAATAGCGGTGGGCCCAGGATCGCCCTATCTGATACGCCAGTTGATGATGTCCTCCAAGTCGAGCAAACCCTGCTGGCTTTTGTGCAAAATTGTCTACCGTCTGAATGGTCCTTCAGCCAGGAGAGCACTTGACCCTTCATGCCCAACCTCAATATTTTGAGTGAGAATGGTGTGCGGCCGCCAGAATGTTTGGGGGTTAAAATCTACCCTCCCTGACGCCACGCTGAGCATCACTTAGTGCCTCAGTTCTTTCCAAGTACTCTCCGACATGGTCGTCTACCAGGCTCCCCATTACTTTTGACACCATTGGTAGCAGGGCTATGGGTCCATAACATTTTGGGTTCTGCCTGTCCTCTCCTTTGAAGATGGGGGACAGAACAGCTCGTTTCCACTCTAGTGGAAGTATGTGATTGTCCGAGGAGTTTTCAAACAGATTAAGTAGCGGGCTGCAGAAGGCACTCTCTCACTGTTTCAACATAGTCGGCCGGATGTCATTGCATCCTGGTGATTTCCCTACGCGGAGCTCTGATAGTTTTTCCAGGACCACAGTAGGAGTTTCCTTTGTTTCACGCAACTCAACTGCCTTAGTAGTACTGATAGTTGTTCGGGCAGTTGTCGATTCCGGTTGGATGGCGGTATATTCAGCTGTGTCAAGGACGGTGGTAAAGGCTTCGGTGACCACTGGTCCAGAGAGGTCCCCTCCTTTCGGGCCTTTCAGAACCCAGGCTTCCTGACTGGTGGATTTTCCGCTCGCCCGAGGAAGTGTCATCGGTTATATCCGCATGCAGTCCAGCCTTTTTGGTAGTGCTGAGTAAGCTCCGGTAGAGTTTCTACCTTAAGGTTCCCCTGTCCTGCCCCAGATTGAGCGTCGGAGCACTGAAGTCTCCGGCCATAGTGGCCTGGTTGTATCCCATAGACGTCGCCCCAGACCTTACTTGGAGCGGTTGTTGGTGATGTTCCACGTTGCTATTAGCAGTTCTGTAGAGCCCTTCTACTAAGTACTTGCTTTGTCCAACCGTAGGGTGACACCAGATGAAGTCTGGGAGCCCGAGGGTGGTGTTTCAGTCGCTCGCTCCAGTGAAACCGGTTAATTCACTTTTTTCCCCACAATGGTTTCTGGGGCTTTTGCAGAGCCTAGGCTGGTCTGGATATTTTGTGTGCTGACTGTGACTGTGACTTCAGCACCAAGTGGGGCTGTCGTTCGCTGTTATCGCGGTGTCCTGGGCCTGCCTTCACAGAGACGAACGTTCCTGCGGATGTTGTCTTTTACGGCGTACCAAGTTTGTAGTACTTTGGGTAAAAGTTCTTGACACTCGAAGTTAATAGCCATCAACCTCGGTGATGTCATCGTCGCCAAGTGTGAGGACATGGCAGTCTGCGGTCCACCGCCGCCATCATCCAATTCACCGCCATTCTTACTGATAACCGCCGCCATCGTTGAACGCCTTGAGGATGCTTCTTAACCAATGTGCTGGTTTTTAGTCCCAGTATGCCGTGGACAACTAAGGTCGTTGGTTTCAGCGTGTGGTGTGCCTCATGAGATGCTTTTCTCGCTGACCACAGCCGGTTTGGCCTGGTCCTAATGCTGGATGGCCGGTTGATGACTAGCGTGTGTGACAGCAACAAGAATCTTTCCGTTTCCTTATTCGGGCACAAGGTCACTCTCACAGGCGGGGGCTTTCCCTGAGGTGAGTAGTTGCCTTTGTAGAGCCGGCACAGCTTTGCTCCTGAGCTGTCCAGCCCTAACATGGCACATACCGTTTGCCACTGCTGTTTGTCAGAAGATTCTGTGTTCTCAAGAAAGCTATCATGGCTCACAGGGACGTTAAATATGATGACGGAATTCGAACCGTCATCAACGTCTCCGTTGTCGTGTACTGTGGGTGGGTTTTTATGGAAAGGGTGAGCATCCCTTTCCACTGTGACCCATTTTTCCTGATGAACAGTGGCGGTGGCCGTTAAAGCAACTTCAGGGTTAGGGACTAGTGTGATTGGTCGTCTAGGCCTTTTAGGACTATTCACAGTGTGACTGTCCGGGACACGATGCTGACACTCTTGTCTTTGGGCCTGGGGTTGTGGTCTGTAGAGGCGCTGGAGTCAAGCAGCCACTGTGGTGTCTTTCACAACCTCCCTAAGCGATCCTAGGGAAAAAGGGGTATACAGGGCTTCCCACAAATTCAAGATGTATGACCCAATAGAATAAGTAGAGCTGTAGGTACAGCAACCTCAGCTATGGCAGTTGATCGAGACAGTTAGACCTATCACATAGTTGTCCCTTTGGAGAGCGCTGGCATTGATTGACTGAATATCACACGTTCCGTAGAAAATGTTTTCTTCCAGTAAACCTGTTACTTTCGTAGAGAAAATATTCTACCAGGAAGGCGCATATTTGGTCATCTCAGAAGAGAATGCAGGTGAGTCAAAACATGTCAGCATTCGAGGAGGACAGTCTCCAACATATCCGATATCTTCTGACGAGCTAGTTTAAGCCGATTAATCTCTTTGTGCCAGCTTCTAGGTTTTGCGAGACGGTCCCAGGTCTTTGATGGATTGTAATGCAGTGGGTCTACCTCATACAGCACACTTGGGCAACAACCATATGTGATCATCAGCGTTCCCCATCAGTTCTGGACTTGGTATTATCACACAGATGATGTGTGCTTCATTCGGCACCTAGCACCCCTCTGTAAAAGTGGTCACTCTGTGATCGCCTTCAGATACACGGCAGCCGCCTTGCACCAGGCCGATGCCCCAGCTAAACCAGTGTATGAAAAGGGAATGCGGAAGCTATCAAGATGACCGCCTCTTCAGCGGACTGGACGGTCATTCCATAGGCCTCTGTTGAAGCCCCATAGTGCTCTTACAAGCAGTTATGTGCACGAGTGACTCAACCGTGCATTCCGTGGGCTGTCCCAAGAGGACGGAAAAGCTATCCTTCGTGGATCAAGCACGAAATCCTAGTCCCACTACAGCGTGAAAAAGTGTTGCAGTCTTGTCACCTACCTCGTTACTCCGGAGGTGGTGAAGCTCGAATAAACGTATTGCTGACATCCCCCGGTCTCGAATATGCTAGGGATCGCATCTTGCCCAGGCCGCGTTGCAGCATTCGAAGAGGTTATTTTCCTATATGAACTATAAAAATAAAACCTGTTGTGGTATACCCGCTCTAATCAGTGGGACAGAAAAATGACTGTTTGGCTCAGGTCGACAGGGAAAAAGCGGGAGGTATGGCTAGATATTTTGCTGAGGCCTTCACACAG